CCCGCCGTGGCTGGGCAAATAGCCGGCCAGCTCGGAGCCTTCCAATCACCTGGCGCAGCGGAGCCTCCACCCCCTGCGCCGCTGCTTTCGCACCACCTCCAGCCTGCTTTTAAACAAATACTTTAATAAAACCACTTTACACTATTGCTCTTGCATGTAGGACTACAGACGTTCAGGACTTGGTAAGAGAAGCAGAAGGCTGCCTAGCAGAAGTTGCACCGACTCAGGTTTGTGAGCAAGTTTGCTGCTAAAAGAAGTAACCTGGAAGCAAGGTAGCTTATCGTCTGAAACGTTAGCATATGTGCGTTTGGAGCAGCCAGACCTGTGGCATGCAATATTAACTTCAGTGTGCTTTACAGCACTATTGTGTCTCTGACTAAATGCCAGGTTATGTATTACTAGAGAAGTTGTAATTTATGCTTTCCTCCTTAGGCTAAATGGAAGGTATTTCTTCTTTTTGTAGGTGAACAACAAAGCAACACCTTTTCCGTCTCTGACAGGTGTTGCTTTCTAATCTCGGGAGGGATAAGTATCATTTAAACATATCACTTTAAAGTCCCGGGCACAGCATCAGCTTTTATGACACCACTAAGTTGCAGTTCATCTAAAATCATATGTTGTGTGAGCTTGTATGTACACACCTGGAATCACAGGCTACATGCAATTTTGCTTAAACTCTGCGGTGAATTTTTACCTTTCATATATTATTGCACTTGCTCTAATCAATGATACTGAAACTTTGAATTAGGCTACTGTTTTTTTTTTTCAGATCAAATACTTCTTTTTTCCTAAATTCTACAATTGGAAAATATAAAATGCTGGGAAACTTACACGGGTTTTTTTCAGGAAACTGAGACTGAAGAAATAATTTTTACTTTAATCAGTATATAATGTGTATTATTCTATGTGTATTGCTTTGCTGTAGGAGGCTTCAAGTTGTTGGCTTTTTTAACATGGAAAATATTTTGGAAAAATGGTAGACTTTACATAACTGAGAAGTAGTCGAAACAATTGTAAAGATCAGTAAAAACTTTGCACATGAAGTCTTTGATGGATTGTATATGTATTTACAGGCTTTTTGCCACAAAACTTTTGCTATAGAAGAGACCATTAAAAGTTCCTCCATTAAATCATCCATTCAAATGGAAGCACTGTAAGATAGATCCAGTATGAATTGTAGGACTGAGCTCATTTTTTTAGATTAGCATTCAGATAATAGTGATCAAGCAGTAAATTATCTAGTCTAAGAGTTGCTAGGAAAGGTTGATAGGAAGAAGAAGGGTCTCTTAGGAGCTATCTTAGAGAAAAAAAGACATCAAAGAACAGAAGGGATCGGAGAAAAATCGGGTTGCCCAGGTATTCTGGCAACTGTTCTAAAATGTTCATGAGAGGTGAGGAAGGTGTTTTTTTTTTTTTTTTTCCTTATGTTGAATAGACCTGTCCAGTTCTTCTCTGGGCCAAACAAACAAAAATCTCCCTTTTTATTGCATGCTGCTAAAGGGGTAAAACACTCAGTTATAATGTGCCCAGCGTGGGCATTCTGGGGAGGCAGGTGTTCAGAGAGGGCCTGTGCAGGACTGGAGAAACACTGATCACTGGTCCTCAAGTCTAAGGCAGTTGGCATTTCCCTTTCTTGCAGAGAGATATTGGAGACACGTTCTGTGTTGCAGAGTGAATTTGTAGCTAAAGAAAGACTTTCCCCAAAAGAGTCTGTAGAAGTGCTGTGACCCAGCGTCCGCAGAGCAAGAGAGCCGCCACAGTTTGTTTGTGACAAGTGTCTCTGTAGAGCACACTGAAATGAGGTAGAGTTCAGGTTCGCACACATGGGAGAAGCAATAGGTTGGATCTGCTCCTGTTCTTACTCAGATATATATGCACACTGTTGGTCAGTGTAAGCACATTTTCCTTTTTGGTTTTGTATCACTGATTTCCTGTGCTTAAGCTCTGTAGTGCTCAGGATTGAATCCTTTCTCTGTTCACACTCCATGGACAGCTCATCGCAGCTTGACTGACTGCTACTTGCCTATCGTCCTTTGAGTCCAAAGACATGCAAGCACCTAATTCTGCCCTCAACAACTGAGAGAGATGCCTCAGAAGCACTGTGAGATCTGTCAGGAGCAATGTGTTAAGAGAGGTCACTTCCTTCTTGATTAATTGCCCAGTCTGTTGCCAAAACCACCGTTTCACAACCTGACAAGCATGTCTCTCTAAGAAGGCTCAGGGAACAGCCAGTGCCAACAAGCTCTTCTGTGCCAGTGCTGGTAGCATGAACAGCAGGAGAAGCCACAACAGGCTGGTAGGAAAAAGACAGGTTCAGATTACATTGGTTAAAGGAGGAAGTAATGACAGAGGAGATGGTGATAGTGTGGAGGTAGCAGAAAAATACTGGGGACCACTGGTCAAAAGGTATGACACCATCTCTTGCCTATTCCTCTTCCTTTCCCTTGTTTATCTTACTTAGATTTCCTCTCTGTGCTAAAGATCAATGACAAGGAAAAGGTGAGGTTTTCCCTCTCATGCAGGGTTAGGAATAAGGCTCTTTTCAGGGGTGTTGTTTCAGCCACTATAAGTTTGTCTAGGACAATGCTGCCACCAAAAGGCACACCCAGCTGTTACCTTGTTTGCTTCTGTGGTTTAGTATTTGAGTGCAAGACATGCTGAGCCACAGCACTACAAGAAATTGCATTTCTGAGTCAGTACGCATTGCCTCAGTTCTTCTTTTGAAGTGAGTAATGTCAAAGAATCGTCTTATAGATGACACTTTAGAAAAAGACTAAACTTCCTGCTGCACTTTTCTCCCAAGAATGAAGTGTTCAATACTGGATTCTTTGCTTGCTATAGCCAAATGTGAAATAGGGCCACATCTGAGGTAGCACATCTGAGAACAACTGTCAAAGTATTTTTTTCCTATTAATGAAGCAACACCGGAACTATCATTTGGCAAAAGAATCACCCCTTAAAAATGCCATGAGTCTACATCATTGAAATTACTAATGGGAAGAGCATGGAGTCTCAAGATCATTGATGCCTCTAGCCATGGGCTTCAGGCCGAGTATACTACATAGCAGCGTAATGGTAGGTTGAGCTACAGAAGTGTCACTGTGAGGAGAACCCATTGGTCTTGGGCAAAGTACTACCCGGAACAGAGAAACTTGTCACTGAGCTAATGGGGTACCTGAGCCTGAGGCCAAAAGATTCTAGGAACTACAACAGAGCGAATTTTGCCTGAAAAAGTTAATGTTGATTCTCCTAAGAGCTTATGGATGTCTTCTGTCTTTGCCAGCATTCACAACCTGTTAGTTTCAAAGCTGTTGTGTGGAACCTCCTCAATAAGTGAAGTCTAGATAATCATGGGTAGATCTTTATCTCAGTGTTTGAACGGACGGTCTAATTGCAGTAAAGCTTTGGGAACATCCCATTTTGCCTCATTGCACTGTACTGGGGCAGTTAAATGCCTTTCTGATGGACATCAAGGATCGCTGCCCAAAGGTATTCGGTTCCATTCATGATCCTTTTCCACTTCTCTTTCACTGAGAGAAAGTGGAGATGGCTTTTTACCAAGAATTTTCTTTAAAGACAAACGCTGCATGACTGACCGCATTTGAGGAGCTGTTTCAGGAACAGAGGGGAAGACATTTCTACTTGAAGGTCTCTTTTCATCCTCAAGAGGATTTTTGAAAGCAATCTTGCTTTCAGTATGACAGTTCTCTTACTTGCGACTCTGTGTTGTCCTAGGATACTGGCAATAGTCAGAAAACCATCTTGATGCATAAACACAGGTGTAAGTAGTTTGAACTCTTGCAACTCTCTACAGATACAGGAAAATCATACCTCCTGGGGAGGAATCTACCAACAGAATGTATTCTACTAAATGAAACAGATTTTCATTTCCTAGGAGGTTCCCACTTCACAGATTATGTGAATACAGATAGTTTTTGGTCTGGGTTGCAGAGAAAACATCGGATTTCAAGCCAAAGATTGAATATTAATGAAGAAATGACACTCAGAGCAGATGCTGGTTTTGGGGAGAGCAGTATGGCAATCACGGTTTAGCTGTTGTAGCCGGAGCTCTTAATTCTTACCAAACTCTCTGTCGCCTACAGTACAGGCCAATCAAACACATACAGGAGCTTTACAGTAATGGTGTCTCTTTGGCATGTCTCTCTATGGGATTCGAGCGTCCTGCCATGCAGACAAACGCTTTGACTCCCCACTTACCACATTTTCCAAGGTGGGAAGCAGGGTGGCCACCACAGGAGGGAGGCTCGTCGCACCCCCGCTGCCTTCGGGACACAGCTGGTCGGAAAAGCCGAGCCCGAGGCTGATTGGAGCAGTCATCCTATCCGTTTTGTTAGATGTTTGTAAGGGAGAGTTGTGTGGCTTTTCTTTTGCAGATAATTTTTGTAAACACAGTTGGCATGGGAGGGCCTAAGAACACTGTTTTAATCTGCTCTCAAGCAGTTTTTTCTCAAGTGAAACCCAGAGGCAAAAAGCTTGTCATTTGAATCCAAAAGAAAATTGTGTTGACTCTGTCTGAATGTTGTATTTTAAAACTTGTGCTATTTGTAGACTTGAATTTTGGTTGCTAAAAGTCCTTATTTTAGGTTGGTGTTGATCCCTATCTTAAAACTACTTAGGATATATGAGATAATAGATGTCAGTTCTTACTCTGTTTTAGAGATGGCTAAGAAGAGGCTAATAGCAGTTAAACAGAAACAGTGTGTTCTGTTTTTGCAGCAACAAAATAAAGATAAAAATGATGGCTCATTCCCTAGAGAAATATGTGCTAGATATAAAATTAGGCATAGTGATTCCCTCATATGTTTCCTAGGTAAAAAAATACATGGAGCACTGTCATGGAGCACTGTCTTGGAGCACTGTCAATATATTAATTACTTACTGTAATAAAGTTCTTTATGCAAATATGCTACTTTAGTTGTTTTTACCAATGTTTATGCTAGTTTTTGTGTATTAAAATGGTTTTTTAATTATTTTCAGTGTTCTACATCCACCATGTTGCCCTGTGGACCAGCTCTGTCATTTGTGCGGTGCCTGGTGCGGAAGAAGAACGTCGGTGGTGAAAGTCTGGAAGACTCCAAGTTGTGCCGATGCTTGTCTACTCTGGACCTTATAGCACTGGGAGTAGGAAGTACTCTTGGTGCTGGTGTTTATGTCCTTGCTGGAGAAGTAGCCAAATCGGATTCCGGACCTAGCATCGTTGTTTCTTTCCTCATTGCTGCCCTGGCATCCGTGATGGCAGGTCTTTGCTATGCTGAGTTCGGTGCTCGTGTCCCCAAGACTGGTTCTGCCTATTTGTATACCTACGTAACTGTTGGTGAACTATGGGCCTTTATCACGGGTTGGAATCTCATTTTATCGTATGTTATAGGTAAGCATAAGAACAAACGAAGCACTTGAGGGTTTCTAAAATAGCAGATAAAACTATTGTATCTCAGTTCAAGAAAGCCGTGATGTTTAATTATTACCTTATTACTGTAACCCCACACTAATTAAATGCAGTCTTAACATGTGACCATCCAATACAAAGTTGACTAGGTCTGAATAAAATCAACACTTAAATGGGAGATATTCAAATAACTAATTTAGTGCTTTGGCAGAGATGGCTTTTTTTTTTTTTTAATTTAAACATTTTTTTTCCAGAGATAGTGTGACATGTTGGCCCAACATCTACTATACCATGTATAGACACATCTACCTTTTCCATCTATACATAATTACAGGACTGTTGCCCAAATCACCACAAAATTAATATGCTGGAGCATTGTATTGAACTGTATTTAATGATAAAATTAAAGTCATATCTAGCTATGGCAACATACACTTTTTTTTTCCAGGGAAGGAAGAGTATTTTAAATATCCACTCTAGCAATATAGATTTTTCCTAGAGACTTTTTGATCCAAACGGTCAAACCTCCCTGCTTCCATAAACTATTTTGTCACAATGCTTTAAACTGTTTATAATTTGCCATATTGTAAACTTAGAAATATAAATTATATAAAAATAATTTATGTGATATTTGGGAGTAAATGAGATATAAATTTATATATTTTAGTTACAGAATAATATTTTATAATTTAACTAGCATATAATTGCTATAATATTAAAATTCATGGTCAAAAGCCTCACTGTTTTAAGTTCTGCTTTTTTTAAATACAGAAAACAGCATTTTTTTTCAATAGAAGCAACTCTGTCCTATTGTATATGTGCAGAATCCTAAACTTTTATGTATTTTATGAAGGTACATCAAGTGTAGCAAGAGCTTGGAGTGGCACCTTTGATGAACTTCTTGGAAAACAGATTGGCCAGTTCTTCAGAACCTACTGCAAAATGAATTACTCCGGCCTAGCAGAGTATCCTGATTTCTTTGCTGTATTCCTTATACTGCTTTTATCAGGTAGGAGAGCCATTCACCTTCACTTATGATGGTTGCGACATCAGACTCTAGAATGTTTCTTGCAGGCAAGGAATAAATTCTTTTGAATATGCAATAGCAAGAAAAATGATAAAATATAGTTTTTATTTTTCCAGAAATTCCTAAATAATGTTAGAGAGATGTGGATGCACATTTTGTATTGATGCAATGCACAAATTTTCATGTGTACCATTCTCTTATTGAAGCTGAGACATTAAATGATCAGTTTGTGGTGCAGAGATTGTCAGCTTGAGTCAGATACTAGCAGATGCAGCAAGGGTAACACGGATAAGGAAGATAATTCAAACAAACAGTGCAATACATGGTTTTCTTGCAGTTTTTATGAAAAACACTTGTACTTCTAGAAATTTTAGTCCAAGTTTTTAAGGTGGTTGTCATATGGTCACTAATATAAACCACCAGAAACTAGCAAACTGGGAATAGAAGCTTGAGGAGATTCATGAGTAATTTAAAGGTAGATTTTTTTCTATGTGCATGAATTAAAAAAAAAAGACTTTTGAAGAAAGTTTTCTAGAAGTTTTGCTGTGATTCATCAGCAATTGATGCTTCCAATTAGAACATATTTTAAGAAATATCAACATTAACAGCGCTGAGGCCCCGGAGTTTCATGGTAATTTAAAGGTAGATTTTTTTCTATGTGCATGAATTAAAAAAAAAAGACTTTTGAAGAAAGTTTTCTAGAAGTTTTGCTGTGATTCATCAGCAATTGATGCTTCCAATTAGAACATATTTTAAGAAATATCAACATTAACAGCGCTGAGGCCCCGAATGGACCTTTTATTATTTTACCTCCAAAGGAAGGGGAAAAACATTTTTCTTTTTGAAAACTGAAGCCCCACAAACTGAAACGTGAATGTAGATGCTGCCATTTTATATCAATTTTCCTCATCATCAGAGCTGTTTCCTAACGCCAGACACCGAGTTTTCGTTATTTGTCTTTTCATCCGTCACAACAGTCTTTCTTCACTTCTTTTGCACTTCTACCCCCAGATACCTCACCAGGTCTATGTGGTAAAGTGTCAAGCCCCCAGAGAACTTTGTGGAATTCACTGCTGTTGAGAGGAAGGGCAGAGTCAGGACTTCTCAGGGCTGAGTAGGCTGAGTGTGATACCCTAATTCAGCTCTGAGCTGTGCAAACCTGAATTGTAGCAATAGCAGACAGAGTTTGACAGAAGTACAAGGGACAGTCCATAGAAATCTGTCCATTGATGTCTCTTCCCTTAAAAAATGTACACAGTGTGTTTCATACAACATTAGGCTGATTGAGACATCGTCTTCTAGAGAAAAGCTTAGCTAAAGAGCTTGCACCTGCTTCCAATAAAAATCCCTTTGGTACAGAAACCTTGAGCAGCTCATATTATGACTTCTGGCTTATGAGAAGACAAAATGAGTCTCATTAGTGGGTTCAGAATTTGTTTAAACATTATCTTGAGAGGCTTAAAATTTTCCAACTTAATCTCTAAATAATGAGGGAAAGCATGTATGTGACATTAGTGGAAATGCTTAGAGTGCAGAGAACCTGTGCGAGGCTTTCCTACTATAATTATTTTTTTCTGATCTGCCTGCTGACAGGTGTTCCATTAAGCTATAAATATGCTTAAAATTGCTACAAATCTAATGAAAAAGTAGAATGCTGCTGGAAAAATTTGCAGATTGCTTAAATGCATTAAACTGAAAACTAAAGATATTTATTTTGAATGAGACTTTATTTTAAAACCTCTATGAAGAGCAGGTGTGAATTTCTTTTAATGGCTTTATTAATGAAGTAGGAAATGTGACTTCTACTATGTAATGGAAACCTACAGCAAACACAGTAGATCATTAATCTGACAATTGTGATTATTTTATGACTCTAATGAGTAATTGTTCTGTATGTAGTTGATTCTGACATTCATTTTTTTAAGCATAGCATTTCTGTGGCTATTTTTATTCCATGGCATAAAATAGAAATATACATTGGAGTCACAAAGAAGGAGTAACACTTGCTCAAATATGTTTAAATACTTTAAGAATAGGATAAGGAACTTGTCTGTTTTGTGGTCTCTAATACACTAAATTTGTGTTAATGATTCTTGAAGCTATAAGAACTAGAGCTGCTTCTTTAGTATGATTCACAGTACCTGCATATGCACCTTCTTTAAAAATCATTTTATTACTTTAAGCAAGTGTTCACAGTTAGAAAATGTTTCTCTTTTATAGGTCTTCTATCTTTTGGAGTAAAAGAATCTGCATGGGTAAATAAAATTTTCACTGTCATTAACATCTTGGTTCTCCTCTTCGTTATGATTTCTGGCTTTGTGAAAGGAGATGCTGAGAACTGGAAAATAAGCGAAGAATATCTCATTAACCTTACTGTAATAACAGAGTAAGTTTTTTTTCACTTTTTTGCTTATATTCCAAGCAGCTCTGTCTTATATTTGCTTCTATGTTATTGCTGATTGCTCTGTTGCTTGGAATAATAAAATATATATATATTTGTAAAGAATACTTTTATTTTCCTCTTTGTATTTTCCTTAAAAATATTATCTTATTTATTTTAATAATATTGTACAGAGCCATTTGTGAATTCACTGGTTTGTCAACCTTAAGCCATGCATTAACTGTAGTATGTGAGTATGACAATAAGGCTTTCATGTACTGTTAGCATTTTAATATGTTTTGATATGAATAGCAAAGTGTAAAAACTGTGTTTAAAATAGGATTTTTTTTCAGTTTCTTGAAATGAACTCTGTCTTGATGAGAGCACATAGCATATTTTTCCAGATACACACATTTATTGTACCAACAATTAAAAATCAGTTATTTTCCTGCTGTATTTTCTTTCTTTTAGGAATCATTCATCCTATCAGAATGTGACAAGCATATATGGGAGTGGTGGTTTTATGCCATATGGCTTTACAGGAACATTGGCTGGTGCTGCAACCTGTTTTTATGCTTTTGTAGGATTTGACTGCATTGCAACAACTGGTAAAATATTTATATATGTGTGTGTGTATGCGTGCTTGCACGTGTGTGTGTATCATATGCATTTGGGAAGGAACAGGGGCAAACAACATCACTGTATGCTCTTCTTTTGCTGGGTTGTTCTAGAGCAGTCTGAGATCATTTCTGAATTAGGCAGTAGTACAGTGGGAAGGAGGAGATATTTCCCATTTTACTCCTCAGCAAAATAATTGTTGCTTTTCAAGTCAGGGTAATGCTTATTAGTGGCTTTTCTTCTGCCCAAATCATGTTAATAACCTGTTCACTTTTGCCCTGCTCTGAGATGAGATACGTCTCCTAAGGCATGGTTTATACATGGATAAGAAGAAATGAGCATTTAGAAAGCTAAACACACTGGATAGCTAACAACTTACAAGTCGTAAGCATATAATTAGAAACAATGGGCTTTGGCCAGTCTAAATATAGAATGTATTTTATATGCTCCAGTTTACTTTTAATGCTATTCCTGGGAACAAAATATTGAGTTATATTCTGTGTCACTAATCTTATCTCGTAGAGATTTTAAAAAATAGTAATATAAGTATGATTCCCAGCGTTTCGATTAACAAATACACTGATTTGTGTTTGATGATATCTTTTAAAGCTGAAGATGGAAATGGACTGGTAGGAATTTTGGTTTTTTTTTTTTTTTTTGTACTGGTAGGAATTTTGGGGTGTTTTTTTTTTTTCTTTTTCCAGGAGAAGAGGTCAAGAACCCTCAGAAAGCCATACCCATAGGGATCGTGGCGTCCTTGCTCGTCTGCTTCATGGCCTATTTTGGGGTTTCGGCTGCGCTGACTCTTATGATGCCGTACTATTTACTAGATGAGAAGAGTCCTCTGCCAGTAGCATTCGAATATGTTGGATGGGGTCCTGCAAAATATGTTGTAGCAGTGGGATCCCTCTGCGCTTTGTCCACCAGGTAAAGACACTGAAATACTAATTTTACTGGGTTAGTGGGGAGAGGCTGGGAAACTGATGGGTGATATAAGACTTTTACGTGTTTGTTCATATGCTTTTTTGGGTTACACAAAGGATTAGAAATAAGTAGCAATAGGTGTAAGTGTGTTTACACTGAAGTAGGACTTCATCAGTATAAGCACATTAATTTAGGTTCCTTTTTAGACTGTAGTCTTATTGAACTCTACCTCTTTTACTTACTGCCAGAAATTTCCCTACTTAAGTATGTATTTTTCAAACATATGATCTACAAGTTATCTCTATTAACTGATAAAATAAACCCATTTTCTCCTTTCTTGCTCTCCGCTCCCAGTGACGCAGTAGCTTTATGGCTCTGTGTATTTGCAGGCAATACTGAAGAAAGAGTAGCCAGGGCCACCTCCTCCTTTACTGCCTCTCTCTGTTTTTCTCTAGAAGCCAGTGTATGTTTTAACATTATCCCTTCCCCCCATTTCTGTGTGTGTTTTTGAGAAGCAGATTATGTATTTAAAAATATGATTTAAAAGATTAGGGAAGGTAGGGGTGCGTTATATGTTCCCATATATTATAACCCAGTTGTATAAAAACTTAGAATACCATATTGCTTGATACTTGAATTTAGAGCAGAAAAATATGGATATCAAACTTCTACCTGAACTATGTAGGTAGTAAGTCATTTATGTGAGCTTTAGCGATAAGAATACTGGCTGGCTGTTCTACAAAGCAAAAAAAAAAAAAAAAAGATACTGTTTGAGCAATACCAGCAACAATGCCTTGAGATAACCCTGTGAGCTGTGCAAGCTGTGGAAGACGAAAACCCTGCTTGCTGAGAGCACTTTAAAGGAAAGGAATGCTCCTGATATAGGAGGTGATTAAAAAAAGGAAATAGATCCAGAAGGACATTAAAGGAATTGTAGGGCTGACTGGGAATGTCACATTTCCACGGGAGATTCTGGGATTATGGTTAATTTCTATCTAGCGTCATAGCCCCTCAATTTTGAAGGTTTTGCTGAATTTGTCCTCTAGATTGATGAATAATACAAGTGATATTTAACGAGAAACTAGATCAAATATTGAGTAATGGAAAACAAAGTATACTGAAATGGTAAAATACACAGTTTCAGAAATCTGAAATTTTAGTCTCTCTTTCCAATGTATTTTAAATTACTGTATTTCCTCATACAGAAACTTTTTTTTTTTCTGTCTCTTGGCTGTTTTCAGTTTAGAGCAAAACAAAGGATATTTCATTTCAGTTGCCTCAGTTCAGAGGTATTATTGACAAAAAAGTTGGAATCATTGCTTTCTCTCTGTATCCATAACCTCTGACTAGATTGTGTCATGAACTTGTTTCCTTGGGATGAAAATGTTCATTAATATTTCCATTATTTATGTGAATGCATTTAAATACAGTTAGGAGGGTTAAATTTTACAAAGCCACAATAGCAAAATTTTGGCAAAAGTTTTGAAAAATATCCCGATTTGAGGAACAAATTGTGGCCATGCTTCAAGATACATTCTTCTTTTGGAAGGAACTTTTATGCAACAAAATCAGTTCCTGGGCAATGAAACGTATTTCATATGTGTCTAACCTTAATGCTCGTATCCCGTGAGCATTACTAAAAGCACTTAGCATCTGTGGTATGTAAAAGCTGTACTTTCTGTACAAGATATAGTAGCTTTCCCAAAGCAAGAAGGGCAACCATTCAACTGATTAAAAACTAGTGTGCTTGCTGCAGAGGTTATACTGGCTTTATATTTTGTCTTTTTGTCCTTTCAGTGTTTCTGGTTTTCTTGATTACAATTATTTTGCTTTGAGGGAAAAAGCCCACCGAAATAAGATATGTATTTTAAGAAGAGCTTTGAATCATCAATGTTTTATAAGCTTTCTATGTTCCGCTAATAACAAATCTAAAATAACTGGCTTTACATCTTTCAATAAAGAAACAATCTTAATGTAGCTTGGCTAGAGGTGCTTTAATTGAAAAGAATAGTGTGCCCAAGTACAACTGTACAGTGCTTATTCTGAGTTATAGTTAATCAGCATTCTCAAATGGAAATGCAGAATTTGTGAGATGCTGCTAATGCTTACTGATTGGCTCCTGCTGACTGACAGACTTCCATAAGGAATGCTAAAGCTCAGTTGCATAGTTACTGTGACCTGGTTCTGGTCCACTAATGCCCAAGAACTACAGTGATGGCAAGAGAGATGCTAATCTGAATTCTCTCAAATTAAGCAATTCTGTTACCTAAATCAACAACTTTACAAAAAAAAAAAGTATATTCTAAATATTCTATTTCTGTGTGATCTGTAGTATCTTGGGCTATGGGGCTTTCTGGTTTTGTCTTAAATCATCGATTTTGTTTCTGTACATGCCATTAATTCACATTGTTTATCTTTTCCATGATACAACCCTGCATGAACTGTGTTTGCCATGTTGCATGTATTTGCTTTTTACTCAGTCTTCTCGGATCCATTTTCCCAATGCCACGTGTAATCTATGCTATGGCGAAGGATGGCTTGCTTTTCAAATGTCTAGCTCAAATCAATTCCAAAACGAAGACCCCACTAGTTGCTACTCTATCGTCTGGTGCAGTAGCAGGTGAGATTAAGAGCTGATCCTTGTGAAGAAAGGTGCACTGCTAAACACATTGCATATATGGATATAAAACTCTACTGTGCAATTCTGATTTGCTTTTGGCTGAAATGATCAAATATGATTGCCGCCAGGTAAAATAGGCTTCTAGTGAAACTTTTCTCTACCACAGATTTTATATTTTTTGATTTATCTCAAGTGCTTTGAAAGCCTAGGTTCAAAATAAACGACAAACCAAAAGCATCAATCAGACAAACAAACAAAGAACAGCAACAACACAGAGCCTAAAACCAAAACTAAACATAAACCAGTCCAAGCTTTCTTTTTGTGTAGTTGGGTTTGCCAGTAAAGCGTTGTGCTCTTAATAACCTGTATTTGAACTATACATTTTTCTGTTCTAGTCTTCTCGGCTCTATGTTCCCTTTGCCCCGAATTCTGTTTGCCATGGCACGCGATGGTTTACTCTTTAGTTTTCTTGCCAAAGTGAGTCAGAGGCAGGCACCAGTTTCTGCCACCTTGACAGCAGGGGTCATCTCTGGTAAGCTTTAAAAGCCCGTATTTCTTAAAACTGGGAATTAAACCCTTTATGCACGTGCATGGTAATTCTTATTTTCGAAAAGGGCTGCGTGTTAACTTCCCTTGCATGTAACATGGGAATAAATTTATTGAGTAATCAAAGGGTGTACGAACTCCAAATCATACCAATCATGGTGGTGGTGATCTGATGTCAAAGAATTCCAAATGACTTCGATTTTTTTTATTTTTTTTTGATCTTTAATATTGCGTGCTCTTCTATTGTGAATAAGCATTTTACGTAGAGTGGGTCACATTTTTATTATAGGAAACGAGAAAAAAACTCTGTAGCAGGATCAACTTTTGTGTAAAGTACATACATAGATACTTTCTCAATTTCCTGGAAAGCAAAAAAGAAGCTGTTTTGGAACAAGCTTACGAAATCATGGCTGGAGTGTGCGTGTGCTACGTTTGGTTGCACATACACATATATGCATGGACATATGTGCCTGCAAACAATTTAGCAAAACAGCACTTAAGGAGCTATTACCAACTCCTGTGTTTCACAGAGGAAATATTTTCTCATGCAATTATTTCACTTTTGTCAATGTCAATACTTCTTGCAGATGTATATGTAATTGTGCCCAAATTTCACTGTGTTAATTCAGTGCATTGTCTACACAGGAAAATTGGAAGTTCCAGAACTATTTATCTCAAAGGCAAATAAATAAGTCTTAAATTAAAGCTAATCCAAATATGAAAACCTTGACTTTTAACAGATAGCTACCCTGGCCAAAGGTGATATCAAATAAGAGGTTTAGAATTGAGCTTAAAACATTAATACTTACAGTCACGCCCAGACGCCACTTCCATATCTGGAACTGGTCATGCACTCTATTTGTACTTGCTACTAACGTGACAAGGTGCAGTCATGTTTCCCATAGCTTTTGCTTGAAGCATTATCACCAGTTCCCATTTTTTGGGTCAAGTACATCACATAAATTTGTTTTTATTGTTTTGGCTTTTAGTGTGAGTTTATATGATTGACTTCTTCCTGTGTGAGAATTTGGAAGTGCAGTTATATGGGGTGAAATCAGTGTCTTTATCTGAATTCACCGTAACGAAGAGGGGAAAGAAAACCGTGTTACTGAGGAGCTGGGGAACTGCTTGGCAGGGGGCACAGCCCGGAGCTCGGGTGCACAACAGCAGGCAGCTGAACGGCTTCGAAGCCAGCTCGGGGAATTCACTGGGTGAACAGTTTAGCTGAAGATAACTTCATCTACTGCTGGAGAAGGGATAGGTTTTCCCTCTATTTTTAAAAACCTGTCTATTCGGTAACATGTGGTCTTAAGCGCTTTTGCCAGAAAAGAGGTATGCAACAGCTTATAATATAATCTGACTTTCCTAGCATGGATAGTTTCATAGCTTTAAAGAGTGTTAAGGAGATTAGATGTTTGGCCTTTTAATTAAAGTTATCAGGTCAAAACTACAGCTGGGGCAATTATTGTCACATGGTTTTGTTGTGACTTCCCTTTTTGCATATCGGAATTGTGATTGTGAAAGGTGGTAAATGGAGAAATGCTTTGTTGTCAGTTCATAAATTTCTCTACCCTTATTTCTTATAACTGGAGTAGAACTGAGAGAAGTGGAAAAGCTGCACTGTGTTTCTTGCATACAAGTTTTTTTTTTTTTAATTTAGTCTTAATATATAAAATATTCTGGGCTAGCGAGTAGCCTTTCAAAGCTAGGAGGATTAAAAATTAAATGCAGATACTGTGTAATAGGCTATAATAAGTTCTGTTCTTTTTCAGCTATGTTTACTCATGCTCATCTGAGCATACTAAGCAGTGAGATTTTTAGAAATTTGCCTCATAATTGACTTCTTGGATTCATTAACACCCGTTTTATTTAAAAAATGAGATGGTCTTTTTCCTTCATTAGAAAAATAGAATAGCAGATAAATTTTAGTAACAGAGTAGTTTGTTTTTTATAAAATCGCACTTTACTTTCTTCCCCAGGAACAAAAAAACAGGAGAATGTGTGTCTGTGTTTGGGCACTTATACATCTGCCTACAAATATATTAACACATATACAACCTTTCTGTACAATATGTACATAATGTGTAAAGGCTACATTTAATGGTTTCCTTTGATGCTGAAATTAACTGGTGGTTCCAAAGATTAAGTATTTTCAGATTATTTCTGTATCTAAATAATATTAATAAAATGCAAATATTTTAAGAGACTTTTTTGCACACATATATTCCAAATCAATTAACATTAGCCTTTCTCTCAGTAACCGCTTGTACTGATTTCTTCATGAGCTGTGTGTGTCCGTGTGCAGACGGCATAGACCAAAAGAGACATTACACTCAGGAGTCTCAAAAAGCAGGGTTTATAAGTAAAAAGGATTTCTATAATTGCTCTCCATATTATGGAAATTCTGCCTCTGATTTCAGTGATCTTAAGAACACTTATTCTTGTGAGATTTTGTTGGCCTTTTCTGAAGGCCACTTGAACTTAAGTCAGTTTAAAAAATACACTATTTTAGAAAGAAATCCTGAAAGCTCTTTGTACCAAGCTCTTTCTCAGATCGGTGGAAATGTAACACAGGGATATCTTACTGGGCCAGATCCTTGTTGCACAGCTCTGCAGTGGGAGCCATCCTCTCAGTTTCAATGAGATTCTCTTGCAGTATCAGAGCCTTAATCTTTAAAAATGTGTTTTTAACGTGGCTCCTGTTCAGCAAGCCAAGCATGCAGACACTTATGTCCAGATAAGTCTAGTACAAATTGCTTCATTACACAGCATGGCTGTACAGCTCATTTGTGCATATCTACATGAACGAGATGCTCAGCTGTAGGAAATTAAGTTTGCAAGTGTTGGCTGTGACTTAAAATGTGTTTAAATGGATTACCACAATTTCATTCATATTGCCGTCTGTAAAGCCATGTAAAGTTACACTGCTAAAAAACTGTAAATCCTTCCTCTCTAATATGACACCCTCATACAAACTTGCATTTTCTTTTTTTTTTTAAGCTGTAATGGCATTTCTTTTTGACCTAAAGGCTTTAGTGGACATGATGTCTATTGGTACACTTCTTGCTTACTCACTTGTGGCAGCCTGTGTCCTCATTCTTAGGTGAGTCAAAAATATTGTTTCTATTCTGCTATGTTTTGTGTTTTTCAGCATACAAACAGAACTGACATTTATGATGCCATTTTTTTTTGCTATGTAGTTAAATGTTTAAAAATTAGCTGTGCATCTAAAAGATTACTAAGAGCAATGACCCTTCGAGAAAACATTGAATGGCTATATTGTAATACCAGTATAGCAATTGTTTAAAGCCAAACTTCATATGAAATCTAGACACCTTTTATTTTCCAAAAGAAGAATTGATCCAAGCACCAGCACCAAAGGTACTAGTTGTAAGCTTAGGTCCAAAATATAATTAACAATATTTTGCATCTGAGTATGATCTGTGCCATGCACCAGGCCTATTATATTTTAGGAGCTCTATGTGAAAGACATACATGTTCCAAGTAATTCACACACAGGATGAAGAAGTTAAAAGAATGGACTATTATAAAAAATTGCTTTGTGTTACCCTAGTCGGTATATTAGTAGGATCAGACTAATGTTTCAAGATGTGATAGTCTCAGAAGAAAGTAAAAATATATCCTCTCCATGAGTGAGGTTGTAAATAATTGCCAGTAAAACTGTGGTATCTGCTGTGTTTGTAATGTGACAGAATAACATTGGTATATTGATATGATAGACATAGGTCACTTTGTTATGTATTTAGTGTGTCTTTATTTAGGGTAGTTCTGACTTTTTACGGTGTTGTAAGAAGCTAAATTGATAACTTTGAAATGTATAAGCATACTATTAATTCTAAGATCACTTAAATTCTGTTCATAAATGTGCATAAATTTACACTTCAGCGAGGACTCTCTCCCATGGTGACTTATTTAAAATATGCATTTGTAAAAATATACTTAAATCCTAACAAAGCAGATGTAAAGTTTCAGCCTGAGCCAGTTAACAGGCCTTTTATGTTATCAGAAGCCCATCAGAATGAATGTGCTTCTGCTGAAAGGAGTGGTTGGGACTCCCGACCCTTCGCTATCACTGACCACCAGATCTTGTTCCTTCCTCTGTACCAGATTTGTACTGTCTGTCTCAGCTGTTGGTACATGCACTTAGCTTAATAAACTGCTCCCAAAGCCCCAGGCAAAAAAGTGAGTTGCTGCATTTTTGGGGTCTGAGATAGTGATTAAGAATGTGCTGCTGCAATGTGCTTACAAATGTAAAACCTCTGCTGCAGAGAATTTAGCATTTAGATGCAGGATTCTTAGGACCATATTCCTTCAAACACCTATGTAAAGTTAATCTTTATATTTTTTTCTCCTCTTTTATGCATAGGTACCAACCCAGTTTAACCTATGAGCAACCAAAATACTCTACAGAAAAGGCAGCTTTGGCTGCATCAGAAGGGGACTCTATAGTAAGTGAATCACAGATAACTATGATACAAGAGAATCACTTTGGTCTTCAGACCCTGATTAATCCATCCAGCCTTCCTACAGAGCAGACTGCAACTACTGTTAACTTTTTAGTGGGTCTATTAGGTGAGTATTCAGCTGTCTGAACTCATATAAACCAACATAAATAATGTAAATTTATTAGAGAACAATTAAAAACTCAGTGATAATGTATCTTTCTGGAGTCATCATTACCACGTTATTCTGGAGCACGAGTTTCTATTTTTTGATGGATATAATTTATAAACTAGTATATTTCCCTTCAAATAAGCATTTTCATTATAGCATTTCATACTGCTGAATGTCTGTTATCATTCTTTTTAAAAGTCATTTCCTTTTCAATGCAGAGCTTCAGTGACCTCTTTTCTATTTCCATCATTTTGTTTTCATGCAGCTTTCTTGGTTTGTGGCTTGAGTGTTCTCACCACATACGGGACTCATTTCATTGCTAACTTGGAGCCCTGGAGTATTGGTCTTCTTGCTGCATTGGTGGCGCTCTTCATATTTACCCTTCTCCTCATCCAAAGGCAGCCTCAGAACCAGCAGAAAGTGGCCTTTATGGTGAATAACCTAACGTTAAGCTCTAATCTGACCCAGCAGGAAGTTTAGGCCTCTGTTTAGACTTAACTAGAAAAAGATTCATTTTTTCCAAGTCTTAGAAGAGCTGTTTAGTTTAGAACCAGTGTGTTGATGTTGCGTGTGATGATTTGAGCACATTTTGTGCTTGGTGCCAGCCTTTCACTCCTAGCTTTCATTTATGTTCTGAGATCAGTTATCTTATAGACATGCAGAAAATGGGAAAGAATTAAGTAAATTGGTGAAGATCAAGGAATCTGATGGGAGAGACAATTGAAAGGAAGTGATATGTATAGTATTTTTTATATATATGTATATGTGTGTATATATATGCACGCATATTTAATTAAGCTAATATTTTTCAGCTGTAGATGCAGGAGTTCAATAGTATGTGTTCAATACAAACTGGAAAGTTTTTCTTCACTCCCTAGAGAATATATTTTAAATATATTTTGAAAGTTCCAAATATGAGGAAAACAGTGGTTAAACCCAAGGAAAAAGAAAATGTAAAACTATTTATTTACTTATTTCAGTAAGAAAAGTTCCCACTTCTTTTTTGGCGAGTAGGTCTATCACCTCCAGTTGTGCTGTATAACTCAAGGTTGACATTAGTAGTTGAAATATGTAAGAAATAATACTTAATACTACAAACATTATTACTTATTTTCCCTCAGGTTCCACTGTTGCCGTTTTTGCCAGCATTCAGTATTCTGGTGAACATTTACCTGATGGTACAATTAAGTGGAGACACTTGGATCAGATTTAGCTTCTGGATGACATTTGGTAAGTACTTGGTTCATTGCAGTCACCTCATGTTAAGAATAATTGTACCTCTTTCAGATCCTTCAATTCTTTTCCTTTGAATTTCTGAAAATAACTCTTTACTAGTCACCTGCTGTTTCTCGTCAAAACAACCCAAAGCCTCAGAAGAGGTAAAAATCCAGAGCCTAAATTGTAAATACAGCTTTGAGGAACTGGAACTAATCAAACTTATGGAGACTAAATGTAATGGTCGTACATTTCCTTCCCTCTACATCAGTCTTTCTTTTTTAAAATGTGGAAACTACATTAATTTGATCTACTTGTAAATTAGAGATAATTGTTTCCTTGACCTATTACAGTCATGAATTAGACAAAAATGTGCACTGGAATTTAGCACCAGTGCTTCCAAAGGAACAATGAAGACCTGAAGCATGAGTTTCAGTTCACCTGATGCAGATAGCAGAAACAGGGACTTGTTCTGGAAAAGGGGCTCAGCCAGACAGTAAAAAATAACTGCTTTTTAATGCCTTATTTGCTTGAAACCCTTTTTTTTTTTTTTGGAAGGCTTCCTCATTTACTTTGCTTATGGCATCCGACACAGTATTGAAGGCCATCCTAGAGAAGGAGATGAAGAATCTGCTTCAGAAAATAGTGGGATGCAAGAAAAGAACCCTGTGGAAGAAGATGAACAGGAAAATGCAAATGAAAATGATCAATTTCTTGCATGTGAGAGGACAAGTGAATGCTAATCTATGCAAACATACAAGTCTTTTAAACAATAAACTGACAATATACTTGCTGACTGAACTTTCGAAAGCTTCACCAGCCAACATTGTGTCTCTTGAAAGTGTTTACCATCAAGCCAGGCTGATATTTTGGACAAGCTGATGATCTGTTTTCATCGTTTCAGCACTAGTATCATGAAGAGTAATACTGAAATTAAAAAAGTAAACAAGAAAAATACCCTTCGGCATGTAAAAATTTGGATGCATTGTTTGAACCATCATACAAAATCACTGGCAATCACAAAATGTGAAGAACTGTAGAACTGCCTGCCAGAACTTCTCAATATTCTACCCTGCCTTGGGAGCCCAACTGCCTTTCATACATTTTCCTCTTTCTCTTAAGTGTTTTGGTCACAGTCTAATGGTGTCTGAAATAACAAAGCAACTAGCTCACTGAGTATTAAAATACCTAGTATTTTCTATGTAGTTAATTATAATTCTAATGGGAGATAATTGGCAAGTAGTTCTGGAGAGTATTTTGCAAAACAAATGGTTTATTGCACAGATCTGATTCTATGCAAAAAGCAGATATTTAAAATATTTTTATATTAAGTAGTAAAAAAATGGTTGTTTACCCTTATTAATAGGTGCTCATGGAGAACTCAAGTAGTGAAGCTATTTTAATGGTTTCTAGTGTCTCTGAACAGTGATCAAGATTGCTACTTCTATCTTATGTGAATTACTTTTAGTGTTGCCATGTATATAAAATGATACTCCCAGGAGGGCTTATATTATTTCCTCCTAAAGCACCTGAGAAATAATCTGCCTGTCACAGTGTGGACAGTGACATGGGTACGTGATTTAGCAAGTGTTTTGCTACTGATTCAGAAGGGCCCAGATTTCATCACTGATTAATTTGATACCAGTGTACCAAATACATTTAGTACTTCGATATACAGCAGCATCCTTTGTCATATGCTGAGGTTTTTACTTCTGGTTCTTATACATTGCTTCTCTTCACAAAAATTAATGCATAAAATCCCAGCCTTCTATTCAGGTAGAAGGGGAGGTGAAATGGAGACTTAGGCTTTTTAAAGAATCTTCTTTAAAACAGTGTTTCAGTGCTTTTACCTTCCTTTAAATATATGTTGTGATACAACTCTAAATCCATAAATCCATTTATGTGAGTAGGATATCCAAAAGATAATTTAAGTGAAGAACCAAAATTTTGCAACAGTGCTGTGTGAACAATTGTTTTAAATCTAGTAAAAATGAGCAGTTTTTTTCAACATAAAAATCATATTACCTTTAACAGTTTTTCTCAGCAAATATTAGGCTCAATACCTTGTAGAATTCCACAGTGCAGAGATATTTTGCAAGAATGCCTTTTATAAAATTAACTTCCCTTAAGCTAGAGGAAACAATCTTGAACTTTGTCACAGAGAGTTGCAGTTCTAAGCTTAATACTGCTTGCGTTAATCACTGACATTAATCTTTGTTGTTAGCTATAAAAACTTTATATCCTGTGAGAGCTATGTTGGTCAATAGTAAAAAAAAGCACCTTATTTTTATATAATATCTAGACTTTTTTTAAAAAAATATTTAAGCTATTCCTGTCTCTCTTGCTTTCTGTCTTTTTGATGGCAGTAGATTCAGGTGATTTTTTAATCTAAAGGTGAGTTCTGATGTTGTAAGGGAGGAACCTGCATATATTTGTAAGGGCAAAAAAATAAGTGCTTTTTGATAGAGACCCTAACAGTGAGCTAGGGTTTGTGGTGAATGGGTTTGTTGTTGTCAGCCTGATCTCTTGCTTTTCAGTTTGAATTGGGATGTGAACGTCTTGCGCTGCTGGGAAGATGGAGGGAGATTTTTGCTGTTGCACTAGTGGCCTCTACCGGCTACTCAAAAGGAGCAACCTGAAAAGATTTGCACTACTGTTTCTCTTGTTGGGCATAATCTCTGTTTTACGGTATTTCAGAGAAATACCAGAAATTCCAGAAAATCTGCAGAAAATACTTGCCAAGAGAGTGAAGCAGGGCATTTGTGGTTCCCTTTGTGTCTCTGAGGAAGTGAATAGTAAGCATACGACAAGAAAAATGCCCACCTCTTAACTGAGGTTTCAGAAAAAGCCCTTTAACTGTTGTTGTCCTAGGACAGTTGTTCTTAAAGACTGGCAGCCCTTAGAAACAGATGGGACCCAGAGCATGAGCAGAGACTATGGGTAGGTGGCAGTGTGATACTATTTTTGATGTATCAAAGTCCTTCCAGAATTCATCTTGAATTGGTGGCCTCTTCTTTCTGCAATTCCTCATTGTTTTACATGATGCCATTACAGAAATACTCAAGTGCCTTATTAGACTAAGACAAGCAGATGACATTCTAAGTAAATATTTTGTAATAATAGAAATTAAGAGGAATTTTCGGAGTTTTTTTTGAGTTATTGCTGAGTTTCAATACCTCCATTTGGTGAATGAAGGAGATGCCAATGTCAGCTGGATCTGTTTCTTTTAACTGTACTTGTCAACAGAGGCCCATTTTTAGGAAAGCATGAGAGAAGAACCACATGTTCTTGTTTGAAATGTTAGAATTTAGGACCTTCAAAGCCACTGAAAGGAATTCAGTGTAGTAATCCTCACATGTCAACGCAAAAGTTTTATTTAAAAGAAAACAAAAATGACTAAATCAATCTGCGCCGTTGTTTTTAATCCCTCAAGGATTTGAAATAGAGGAGTTTTTCTGCTCAGCTACTACTCTGTCAAGACCACAGCTTCTTCCATGGTTGCACTGTACTTACCTGCTTAGCTCACGCAGCACGCTTAAATCCCCGCTGCAAAACCGCCACGCTCTTGGGGCAAGTCAGTGGTGTCATTCCAGGCTCCCGCACGAGGTCTGCACCAGCACCCAGTGAGATGCAGCCCTTGGGAAGCCGCGTACGCGCTCCTGTGTGTGGCGAGCAGGAACTTCCCTCCTCCCCAGCAGCGAGCAGGCGGGCCGGGCCCCGCGGCGCAGGCTCTGCGGCGCTCGGGAGGTTGGCACGAGGCCTCCGCGCTGCCGCAGCGCCAGGCTCGACCGCACGGAACATACGTGCCCGCACCGGGCTATACGTTTGCACCTGTCTGTCATTAGCCCATAGTTATTCTGATGTACTGATTAAAATAATTTCTATGCTGCACTGGAATTGTCCTTTGAAGGGATACTGCCAACATAATTATCTTCTGACTAACAGTGCTGCCTTAGTGCTAGATAAGACTTCTAGGGACGGGGCGAATTAATTTTCCCAGCTCATTTACCTGATGGATTTGTCAGCACTTTGTGTATAGACAGTTTCCTCCCTTATTTATATGAATATTTCTTCCCTCTTTTTGTGGAAGTTAATTGTATGAAAATGAAAGAATGCGACTGTACAAATGTTGCTGAGGGAGATTGGGAGCAGCTGCAGCAAGGAAATATCCATTTATCTAACAAACTGTAATGAAATTAAAGGAACGTCATTGGGTGTTCTCAGTTGGTTTGACTGTGCAAAGCTTATTGATATACATGTATAGTTAATTTCTTCATTAGTCAGCAGCTAAGCAAGATCACTATATGCCAAGATATTTATTGTATAGCAACCTTGAAATTCCAGTCGTTTTAATGGGACTTTGCAAGAACTGGCCATGTGAAGGGTCGCCATGCTACTTCTTACACAGGAGGCGTGTGGGAAACAACCCCTAACGTTGTCCTCTTGTCACTGCACAAGTATGTCCGTGTTTGCCAGGAAAGCAGCTGAAAACACAAGGCCAATGAAACTAGATCATTGTTGTTTTAACATAGTTGTTGATATTGTAAATTGTTCTGTGCGAATAATATGTATTAATATGAAGTATATATTACTGCAGAGAGCTTATTGTATTTTTTTCTTTCATTCTGAAAGAAATCCTTAAACTGTTATATTCATGATGTGCCTTTAGATACAGCAATTATTTTTATCTAATTGGATTTAGTAAAGTAAGCCAAAGCATATTCAAGGGAGAACAAATATTTTTGTTATCCCTCAGGGAGACGTTACTGTTATTAACCATTTCTGTGTAGAACTTATGAAGTGTTCCTTTTGTGGTATTCCAAATTCTACTCCTAATTCTGCCATAGGAAATTTCAGTTGGCACCTGAGATTTTGTTGTCTGTTATCCTGTATATAGTTATTTTGTAAAGAATTTTGCTTTTCCTTGCCAAGTTGTCTTCTCAAATCTGTCATTTTATTTATGCACGTTATGTTGTGTTGTTTATTTCACCTGCTATTCGGGGGTTATTGGTAATAAATGTCAACATAGTGATACAGGATTACTTAGAGAGTTAGTTACTTATGAATTTAATTATAGAATAGTTCACCTATGCCATGCAAATGATACAAAAATTTGGAGGCAAAATACAGTAAGGTTTTAAAGATATTCTATGTTTTCTTAGATGATGAATGTATGAGTCTAGCCACCTTTTCCCTTACATTTATACAATATTATAGACCTTTTTAAAATAAATAAAATGCAGATTATTTTCACAGAGCTTTTAAGAAGTGCCAATACCAGATGCATTGTAAGCATCCTGAGATACTGAGAGCTAAACAAAATGGGTTGCATCTGTGGCAGTGCAGGAAGTCTGCACGGGACTGTGCAATCATTTTAATCAGGTGTAATCAAGTTAAGATGCATTTTATACAGTGGGAATTCAATTCATGTGATGGTTCCCATGCGTTACCTGATTATACACGTACACACACACACAAAACAACAACAGCAAAACAACAAAAAAAGCACCTTAAATGCTCTTATCCCCCAATTCTTCCCAGGCTTACCAGCAAGTTTGTACAAATTAACCTATGCTCACTGAAAGCACTGGGACTATTCAGTGTCAAGCAAATATAACATTTTATAGAAAGGATCTTTATATTTGTTTTTAATTTCCTCCACCTTTAATATTTCTTTCTGGTATGTTTTGAGAACCTCTTCATTTTAAACAGCTGGATTTTTCCAAAGCTAAATCAAATGACTTTACCATTTCCTGATCTGTTTTTCATTTGATTTTAAGAGTCAAAACTTCTTAGCCACGAAAACTCCAGCTTCACCAGCAGAAGTTTAGCTGAAGTTGAGAAAAAGGTCAAAAAGATTTGAACCCACAATGTTTGGGAGGATTCTTTTTTCCTTTGTGCTAACAGACAGTATGAGTTCATCAATACATATTCACCATTTTAAAAAAATTAGTGTTTATATCCATTTTAACCTTTCTCTGTTTATGTTGTATCAGCCATACAGGTATAGACAGCATCTGCATTTCATGCTGCTGTACATTTAAAATGTTGATAGGACGATGCTACTTAAACTATAAATTTGTATTTCCTCGAAGTGCTCTAGCCTGAAGTCTTGATTTTTTTATGAATGTAAAAATATGTTCAGCATATGTGTAAAAATACGGTGCTTGTTTTATTTTTTCCCCTCACTTTTACAATAGCATTATAACCAGCAATATTTGTAATTACCTTAGTCCCGAATTCTGGTCTGGAATGGTCTTGCTCCTTATTTACTGTAAGCCGTGCTTCACGGGATAGCAACTGAGCATTTGTTCTGTGTTTTTAAAATAAAGCAGAGTTTCACTTGTACCCACTTTCAACTTTAACCGCCACCAATGGGTTTACTGGGAAATACCAGAATAATGTAGTGACTTAGTATCATTAACATGTCAGACACCTAGTGTTTTGACGTGATATGAATCATAACTCTCAATAAGCCACAGAATAACATGTAAGCAGCCTAGCGGGGGAACCAACAGCTGTATTTTACATTAAAAAATCTACTTTAATAGTTACTCAATTAGAAATTAAACGGGCGAAGGGCCGTTACTAGCGGCGCGTGGCCGTTGGGGGCCCAACGGTCTCCGCCCCGCGCGGCTCCTCCCTCTCGCCCCGGCCCCAGCCCCGTTCCCGGCCGCGGTGCTGGTCCCGGCCCCGGTCCCGGTCGCCATGCGGCTCTGGGTGCTCCTCGCGCTGCTGCTGCTGCCCGCCACGCTGCCGCACGGTGACTCCATTCCCGGGGAGGGGGGAATGTTGGCAAAAGCTCCCTCTGCCTCGCTCGCTCGCTCCTCTTCCCTTCAACTTGCCGTGTACTTGCGGTTAAACCCCCTTCTGCGCGTCCGGAGGAGGCTCAGTGCTGAGCAGGGCGTTGGGCTGGGGAGGGGTGACAAAATAAAAAACAGTCTGGCACTCGGGAGTGAAGAAAAATGAGGAAACTTGCGGAACTTGGCACTCTGGGGTGCTGTGGTTTGCGGGAGCCCTTCTTGCCTCGCCGGGCTGGGACAAGGTGGGGGAGTGGAGCAGGTCGCCGAGGCTGCCCGTATCCCTGCGGGGTCTCCTGCCGCGCTGGTGTCCCGTGCGAAGCCATGGGCCTGGCAGGTGCCACGTCCACCTGCGCCGCGGGAAGGAGCCTGCTTGCCCGGAGGAGGGTGCATCCTCCAGCCTCCTCACGAAGAGGACGTGTCTCAGCGGTGCCGTTTTTGTGCACTTTTGTTGTGCTTTTTGTAGAAAGGACCCAACTTAGTTGGCCAGTTTTGGGTTGTGGTGCATTCCTGAGGGAGGGGGGAAGCCAGTTTGGGGCTGGAAAAGGAAGTTTGTGCTCAGTTGTCAACTCATTGTAGCCTTTAACTAAGAGAAAGGGGACGCTTTCCCTCTTGCAAAATGTAAACAAAATATGAAAAATCCTTCGGGAGAAGCCATCAAAATCAATATTTTTTCCCACTTGTAGCGGTTGTTTTTGCATATTCTGAAGCATCAGCTGTTGTATAGCCCATGGGATGCTGAGGAAGAAGGTAAATGAAGCAGATTGGTGCATCGCCCCTTTGACACCATTTCTGATATGTTGTCAAGGAAAGGTGAGGGGCGCAGCATTTATTCAGCCTTGGAATAGAAGTCATCCCCAGCCTTGTGATGGTGAGGGTTAGCAGAGAAATCGTATGCAGAGTGTGAAGTGCACAGTGAAAGGACAGAGCACAGTGAGGCAATGATCACAAGTTGCCCAGGAAAACTGAATCTTATAAGGACATAAAGAAAAAGTCTTCATCCTGAGAGCCCAGGGACACTGTAGGGTCTCCATCCTCTGAAGTGGCCAGAGCTCCCCTGACCAAAGCCCTCACCTAACTGTGAAGTGAGCCCTGCTTGGAGCATGAGCTCGACCTTGGCTGCAAGAGACCTCCAGGAGTCCTTTTCAGCTTGCTTTTTCTTATTACTGTGTGCAAAGGCAATATATTCTGGACAAGGAGTCGCTGTGGTGTAGGAGGGGATTGCTGCCAGAAATGGTGCCTCGTTGAAAGAAGTATTTTCTGCTCAAGAAATGGGTAATAAAAACATAGAAAGAGAAATGAGTTGCAACTTGCAGAAGTCCCGCGGTGCAGTAAGTTTCCCAGGATGACTTCTTAGTTCATCTGGTTTATACTTGAGCATGACTTGATGCTTCTCACAGTGTGAAACCATGCAAAAAGAATGCATTTAGTGTTATATCTGATATTCCTATGGGGAATAGAAGTTTTTGTGAGTAACATCTTCAAGAACAAAGGGGAGAGAAGCACTGAAGGATAGGATCAGTATGACTGGTGCTATGAATCAGGAGTAAAAGCACCATGTAGTGTGCTTGTGTGGATGTATTTTCTTCTACTTAAACCTTCTGAGTCAGTTTGGGATGCTGACAAAGTACCCAAACTGTGGTGTGTTCTTACCTAAGTGGGATCGTGGGGTTTGTTTCCTTCCTGGGGAAAGCCTTGCAGATGGGGTGAGTGACAGGAGGAATCAGTGAGGGGTGTACTCTGTTCCAGGAGAGATCTGATGGTGTGTCCTCTTCATCCTAGGTGATAGGCTATAGTACCTGTTAATTTAATTATCAGGCATACAGATTTGTTCTCCAGCGATAAGGGAAGACTGAGATGTCGGGTGCAAAAGTGCTGGCATTAGTAGATAACTGCATAGACTTTTAGGGAGTGTTGGGGAAGAGTGTGGTCATGGTCTGCTTGGAAGCTGACAAGAGAGATGCTGGAGAAGAGCAAGCCCTGGTTTGGTGTGCAGGAAATGTAAAACTCATCTGATTTCCTTAAATGCCCCTACTATAATCCATAGACGAGGATGGTGTCAAAAAGAGTTTGGCTTTGAAGCTGGGACTGGAGCAAAAGAGGGAAGTGATGAGTCTCATTAGGAGCTAGAGAAACCTGTGCAACAGAGGGAGTTAAATTAAAGTCCAGTCTCTGGTTCATGAAGACTGCGAAAGCTTTTCGGTTTTAACCATTTCTTAAATTTAACCATTTCAGGCTGTCAGGCATGGAAGAGCACATGGTTTGAGCTGACACTCTTGGGGTGTAAGAACAGTGTCAGCTTGGCAGAATATAATGGAAATGGCAGAGTAGTCTAAGGAAATAGTCCTGTTCAAATACGGCCAAAAAAGCAGGTGGATGCATCAAGGATTATGTGTGTCTGCAGGTCAACCTGAAAAGTATAGTGGGGACCTGAAATGGCTGGAAGTGAGAATGTCCATCATTCTTTGGTTTATCAGGCTGGTCGGTGAGACTTTCTAATACTGGGTATGAATTATGTAGGAAAGATCAACAGCTCTCCCCAAGGGCCAAATGGCACTGTACATTAAAGAAAGCTGCAGTGAAATCAGGTGCCTTGTGAACTTCTTTGGTAAATGTGATATGATCTGCCTGGACTGAAGCAGCTCAGCTCCAAAGAAAATACAACTTCATTACTGACCACCCAACAGACAGAGAAAAGGACTGATGTGTTATAGAAATGCAGAGATGGGAGAGAACAACCAAAGGAAGAAATCACTTACCCTCATGTAGGCTGAGTCACATACATCAGCATGTGGTACTGAGTCTAAGTAAGTCTTTAGCTGCCACAAATGGATACTCCCTAGAGCAGCTACTTAGCCCCTGAGAAGAGCAGCAGCCCTTGACCAGATCCTGAGCAGCACTCAGGGACAGGCTCAGATGTTACGTTAAGAAAAACAGACTCTAACTTCAGTATTCTTGCAGGGATCGTAAAAGCCATAGAAACCACTGTTGTGTATAATTTCATAAGAGGGAATTGCATAAGATGAGGAGGCTCATTAATTCACATATGAGTGAAATAAATAAATCAAGCATAGAGTGCCTGAAAAAGCATGAAAACAGCCATAAATCCTTTTCTCCTTCTCTTGTGCTGAGTGGGATGGGGACAGATGCCTGTAGTCTTTGTAGGGCTGGTGGGATCAAAGAGTAAGAAAGAGCACCTGCAGAAAGTAAGGACATACATTTAAAAACCTAATTGCTTCTATGTATTCATGTTCACTGTGGAGGTGCTTAGGGGTGGTCAGCATATCAGAAAGCTGCTGAACGTGATACACTACAGTGCCTTTCCTCATGCCTAGACTGTAGATATCAGTGACAGAAAGTCTAGAGTTGCTGCTGTTAATAGTGAAAAATGTTAGTTTGTGCTAACTCAGAATAGAATAAAGCTATTTTTTTGTCCAGAGTGGGCTTGTTGATTGATTCGTAGAATAAAATGCAGCTTGATTTGAAAAAGCTGTGGTTAATATGAAGCAGCTGTCAAGCACAGTTCATGGAGTGCTGAGGACAGCAGTTTTAGGGTCAAAATCAAAACAGATTTTTTTTTCTCTCTTTTAAAGGCCACTATCAATCTATAGGCATGTTAAGCAGTCAAAATGCTTTCTGAAGTGAAATCAGTTAACTGTATTCACACAGGATTTGCATCTGCAGTTGATAACACAGGACAGATCCGTTAGACTACTTGCTGTGTGACAGCAAGAAGGATTTTTCTGGCCTGTGTCTCTCAGGGCAACATGGGTAGTGAAAGATTATGCAGAATTGATGGGCATGACATACTTAAGAAAATGGAGAACTTGGGTAGTGGTGCATAGGGAACAGAAACGACATGAAATCACGGAAGTAACTTCAGACAGAAATGGTGCCTTTCCTTCTCCTTCCCATTTGTCAAGTTCTTATGTCTTACATAGTTGTCTGTGTAAAACTGTGCCATTTATGACACATGTTCTTGAAACCTTTCCTGCCCAGGTTGTGCCAGAGACTTCACAAAGTCACAGAAACTGAAACTCTTACTCATTTTTATGAATATTTATAGGAAGAGCTGATCAAGATGAAATTCTACAAGGGAATATAATTTTTCCTAATAGCAAAACTTTGTGATAATAAGGAAAAAATGTACGTAAGAAAACTATATATGAACTTTTTCTGATCAGTAACACTGCTGTCTGTTCCTTGTTTTACTAGCTACTGGACAATATGCAAAGAGTAAGCGCCCAAAAGAACCGGGGGAAAACAGAATCAAGCCTATCAGCAAAAAAGTAAAGCCCAAAAGCCCCAGAATGAAGGAGAGAGAACCTGCTGACACCTCTTCAAAATCCCAGTCCATCCTGACGCAGGTGATGGACAAGGGCCGTTTCCAGAAACTTGCTGCGACTCTCAGCCTGTCTGCAGGACAAAGCATCGAGCTGCGATGTAAGGGCAGCAATGTGAGCTGGAGCTATCCCTCCTACCTAGACACCTTTAAGGACTCCAGACTCAGGTAAGCTATTTTTCATTTTTGGAGCGCAGAAAAAAAATCCAGAACTTTTCTCCTATCAACTTTAACACCACTGTTTTATTTATTTATTTAAAAGATCAAGATAGTTGGCTGGTGATAATTAATGTCAGTAAAGAGGATGCTTATCTTTCATTAATTAACTGATTCAGGTCCTAGTATGTCTGTAATGTAACTCACGTAAAACTAGTGTAAAAGAAGTTATGTATGAGTTGGGAAAGAAATACTTGGTGTCTTGCTTACCAGGAGAGTAAATTATGAGTACGATTAAAATCTGTTACTCGCTGAAGTCTGTAAGTCATTCTGTAGCATGACATCTTCCTCTGTCAAGCAGAGGCTGAGTTCTGTTGTTTTTCATTGCTGCAGGAGATGGAAGCAGGAAGTATTTCACACCTTTAGATAATGTTATAATGTCTCTGATATGAGCTAAATACTTCAACACATGCAAACACTGGCATTTTGAGCTCCAAAGCTCCAGCCACCAACAGGGTACCACATTAGAGCTAGTCTGAAGCAAAGCTCTCAAAATGCGGGTAGTGTGGATGTCACATAATTGTTACAGACTATTTTGCTCTGTAGAGACCTACTCTTGGAGCTGTGCTGACCAAACGTCAGTAGTCTGTGCTAGCAGACAGCACTGGAGACACCAAGGATTATTCCCTGCAGAGGCTCAAACTGCTTCTCAACTTGCAGGAGAGTACAGCAACCCCATGCTAAGGAGCAAGTGAGAGCATTCCTCACCTTTCCTATCAAAATTACCTTTATCTGCCAAGCAATTGCAAGTTTATGGTGCAGAAGGAAGGACTGTGAAAGGAGTGTGATTGAATTTAATGCTGAGGACAATCACCTTGGGGCTAGGAACGCTTTTTTCATCTAGTGACATTTTAGTGGAAACTGCATAAATAGTTGTTAGAGTAGGAAGAGGAATTGAGGACTCTCCTCTTTCCCACCAGGTGAGTTGCTCTATCTTTTCAGCAAACCATAAATTTCTTGACTTCCACAGTTCTTGAACACACTATGCATAGCTAAATGTAGGCTGAATATACTATTTTACTTTATTTGAAAAGAAAAAGGGGTTTAAGGAGTGTGTGTTTTGCACAGGCACATTTTTTTGCCATTAGAGCTTCTTTTCAGTGGATATTTTATGGTGATTTGTGTGTCTATGAAACAGGAGCATGAAGAAGTACCAAGCACTGCAAGCAATAGCCTAAAAAAGAGCCATAGAGAGTTTTTCTTGGATTATTAGGTGAGCGAAGCATAGAGTTTATGAGCAAATGTATTTGTCTTTTGTCCATGTTGTCCTTTTTGTCCTAAATTAAGCAAAAGTTTGTATGCTGTTTCTAAATGTAACCAGATTATCTGCATTTCTGTGATCCATTTCACTTCCTTACAGGCTACATTAAAATCTCTGCCAGTTAGTTATTTTTCCAGGCATATTTTTTCTTCTATCTACTTGTTTTTTCAAAGAATAGGGTTAAAAAATAATAGTTATGTATGCTGTGATCTCCTTTGTGAGTGAGGCATCTTTTAGAAATGCATGAGCTGATTCTTCTCTAAGTGAATGTTTACTTGATCCCTGACGGCTAGAAAGCTCAAGAACTACTCTGGCTGAAAACAGCTTTTTATAGCTAATGCAGGACTTCTGCCATAGTAAGTTAGAGCAGCAAATTTGTTTTTATCAGGGCTTATAGTGGAAGATCCTATGGCTAATTTAATCGATTAGTTCGGTTCCTTTTGCAATAAACCCATTTTTACCCGGATTTAGCCCAGTAGGTGGCGTATATCAGCTGCTGTAGGGACTTGACCATCCCAGCGTAGCAAAGTTAACTGCAAAATTTTATCAAAAGAGAGTATGTGTAGGGTGGGTGGGGTTTTTTTTAATAGATCTTAAATGTTCTGCATTTGCAAGTAACGTTGCTGGCCTGATTTGATTATATATATGGTTCTGCAGGTGCAGATTTCCGGCTCGCAGGATATGGAGGCGGAGAGGCAGCTTGTACCCTCGTGCTGGGAACCAGCATTCCTTCTTTTACTCGTTTGCACTTTCCTACAATAGTCAGTGCGGGGGCATCTCATTGTTGCTTTTCCTTAAATAATAGGAAGGATGTAGCCTTTGAACTGACCTGCTGGGAATAGTAACAGATTCCTAAATCACTTTGCTTTTTGTTTTCTCTTTACATCTCCCGAGAGCTAGCGACTGCAAGAGGAGGCTTCAATGCCCCCAGCATCTACCAGAATTGCAGTTACGGAAGGGAGGGGAAACCTTTTTGTTCAAGACAGAGGTTCTGGGGGAACGCAGGGATTTGTGCCTGTCTGTTGTGCTTAGCCAGCTGAGGACCCCTCTCTTTTCACAGCGCTAACTGGAGGAAATACCAGTGTGCACTAAAATAATAAACCTAGCTTTGGAGGCTGTAGCATGTAGTGCAACTCTGGGCAGAAAGAAAATCATGCAAACTATAGAAAGTTAAGGGCACATACTTTTTTTTTTTTTTTTTTTGGTGCTAGTCCTAGCTCCATTCATAACAATTGTTCATAAATTAATGACTGTAGGCTGTAGGATCTACAGTGTCGAAGCATCAAAAACTGAGATGAGTAAAAGAAAAAGAAGGCACTTTTCCCCTTTCTGTGCTCTATCGTAATACATGTTCTAGTTAAAGAGTCTAACTTGGCAGTCTCTGCTCTGCCTGGTTTGGAACGTGACTCTCTTGTGTCCCCAGATCAGCTGTATTTGTCACAGAGCTGCAGCTGACAAAGCAGCCCACGTGGTCCCGCGTGGGTGGAGGCGCCTGTGTCTCCCGCGCCCAGAGCGCCCACACGAGAGGTGTGCGGGGCCCACAGAACTGAGCCTGCTGGGGGTGTTGTACGGGGCAGAGTGAGCTTGCTTAAAATGGCTCCTGTGGGCTTAGTGGGATGTTGTTTGGAGGGGCTTTTTTGTGTGTTAAACAGCAAAATATTACACTTCTCTTCCACTGAACTCTCTTGTGTCAGTATGAATCCAGGTAATTGAGGGGTTTGCTAGGTACTTTTAAGTGACATTATGAACACTATGCTTTTGTCTTGTTGGATCTTTTTCTACTTTTTTTTTCTACCTTTTAAACTTGATGTAGTTTGTTATGGCAAAGATATTTGGAACTTAAAGTACAGGGTTCTTTTTAATTAAAAATTAATAAGAGGAATATATGGGATAGGATTTTGAAGTAGCTCATTAGTTTCTTTAAATGATCCTGAGATGTTTTTGCATACAAAATCTTTACTTAGTGATTTGTAGAACATTGCAAATCCTAGCTTTTGACTCATATTTCTCAGCATCTAAAAAACTAATGAAATAGTTGTACCATTCATGGTTTACTTTATGTAGTCTATTTTGTCTGCCTCACGTGGTCACGTCACAAGTCTCAACATTTCCAGTCTTTCAGTTGCCAGGTTTGGTTAGTGCCTGTTTGTGGATGACTCCTTCACTGGGCAGTTTCCACTGATTTCTTGATAGATTGTTCTCAGTTAAGTAGAACACACTGTACAATAATTAATTAACTTTGACCTTATTTTTGCCTGTTGGGATTTCAAGCCATACTTCAGAGTCTGCAGGAACTGTTAGAGGCAAAAATATTCTAGCATAATGGTGGCTCTGTCGCGTTGACATTTAATACTGGGTACTTGCAAAGCATCATGTGCCAGCGCAGTCATGTAGGCCAAGAAGTGTGAACTCCGAAACTGAAAAATAGTAGTAGAACATATTTGGAATTTCTTTCCTCCTCTTTGCCTGAGCTCATACACAGTAGGCTTTTTCTTGTGAGATTAGGAATTTGTTGAAGTGCATTCAAAGACTGAAATGAATTTATGATGTGAGCTAGTGCGCATATTAAAAATGAAAAATGCTGTTATTCCATAATGACATGATCACAAAAACAGGAATCAGATGAGGTCATATAGGAGAAGTCAGTAAGAGGGTAGGAAATGTGATTTGCTTATTTCCTCCGGCAGGTCTGTCCACTGCTCGGTGGTGGACGGGTGTGCTCCGAGCGCCTGACGCCTTTGATGGCAGAGCTCATTCTATGCTGGGCCCATCTGTGCTGGGCCCTTGGGGTGTTTCTAATTCCTGAGCTACTGGCCTCGGCTCAAGGCCCTTGCTTGCTGGTGGTAGTGCAGACTGCTAGCTGGACATGAAGAAGCCAGAAATTTCAGGGTATCCTCTCGTGATTTGCTGAGAACTGGTACTGTTGCACTGATACTTTTGCAGTCCATCAGAAGGCAATGTGGGAGATGCTGCTAACTGTAACACACCATCCATGTACAAGAAGCCAGGAAAGCAAACCTGAAAATAATAACTAGATGAGATGGTGGCTGTTGTATTTTATAGGTTGGACCTTTGACCCTTAGATACATTGTCAGCATAAACATCTAAGTTGATTTAAATCCACTGAGAGACATACACAAGAAATTAGGGGTAAGAGAAAATAACAAATCAAAACTCTCTGAAATAACCTGAATTTCAAACTGAATTTTAGAGTTACCATGGCACAGCTGTTACACCTGAAACAGTTCTCAAGAGCATGTTCCAAAATACTCTTGGAACGTGGGGAAAGCTACAGTTACTGGCTTCCAGTGACATAGCTTAGGGAAAAGAGAGGAGCCAGTGCCTAGACTGCTTACTGGCCTAAGCTGAAACAGAGGGTCTGGAAGACAGGGTTCGCAAGTGAAAAGCTGGGCTGGTGTGTTAGTGCAGGAAAGCTGTCACGCTTTCCTGCTTATACAGCAGGCATAAACCATTAAATAAGCACTTTAAAAATATTTTAAATGCTTTTCCTTAAGTATCTTTCCTGTATATTACTATAATATTGAAAGTGTTGCAGTTGAAGTAAACAGAATTAAAAAAAAAAAAAGGGCTGAGATGCATGGAGGTTGACTTGGAATGTGAAAATACAGGGTATATCTGGACAAAATCTAGACAAGCATATTGTGCCTGGCAGTGGCAGCCTGGTTTCCAAGCAAGAGCTGGAAGGAACCCAAGAACCAAGGGTACAAAACCCAGGCATAGAAGGGCTTGTGGAGGTCACTGAAGCCCGTAAAACTGCTCCTGTACACAGGGCTTTGCTGGATCAACAGGAGAAGTTAAAACATAGGCATGAAGGAGAATGATGTGTCAATCACAAAATAGAATTTAAAAAAATATTTTGAGTAAGTAGAAGTGATCTGAGAAAAATGTATAAGATGAAACACACCTGTGCTTGTCTGTGTCTTGCCTTTTGTTTTGTTTCCCTTCCCAGTATAAAGCAGCTTGACAGGTATGGGCAGCTGGTCCTTACAAACTCCACGGCAGCAGACACGGGTGAATATAGCTGCTGGCTTCAGCTGTGCAATGGCAACAAGTGCAGGAAGGACGAGACTAAAATGGGTTCCACATACATCTTTTTCTCAGGTAATTAACTTGTTTGGAGATTATTATTCCTAGTAAGATAGGAATGAAAAATGCACATGAGATCTTTCACTGTCAGAATGTTCTTTTTTCACAATTTTCATTGCTTTTAGTACATGGTAAAGAGAACAGTGCTGGTTCCAGTGAGTAGATAGTTATTGTTCATTGTGATTTATGAGTGTTTTCTCTATGGATTATGCTAAATGCTTGCCCAAAATAATGCATAATGCAGTGGAACCCAAATGCCTTTGAAAGTACTGACACATTCTGAGAATCATCTACAAAATGAGTCCACAGAATGAAAACGTATCTAGTGATATGTGATAGTGGTCTAGTGATATGAAATGTATTTAGTGATCGACGAAATCTGTGTAAAAAATTCATTCTGTCGTGGCATTCCAGTGTCCACATGGGCTTCTATGTTTTCATATCTTCCTCCTCTTGCCACAGTTACCTACATTAAATTCAAAATCCTGACTTCATTCATTGATCTCCACAGGGCCAGAATTCCTCCTAAGGGTCATCTGTGCATCATGTTGAGAGGGAAAATGCTCTATAAACCCTTGTATAGTCTGTCAGAGTTGGATGTTAGCTGTAGTCCTAACACCAGCTGGGTAGGTCATAGCAGATAACCGTGCACAGCTTACTGCTTCTTGGTGAAACACTTGAATTCAAACAGTTATTTTTTTTTCTTCTGATGGAAAACATCATAAATGGTAAAAATCACCTTTGCCTGGTTAGAACTAAAGCATTCTTGGCTAGCAAATATTTCGTTACCAAACGCTAAATTTTGATTGTTTGCAGTAGGTTTGGAGATAAGTTAGAGCCATGAGACAGTACAGAAGCCGTTTACCAGAAACACTCAATGTTCCAAGGATACATTCCGTCAGAAAGGCTAGAATAAGCATTTCAATCAAGTTATTATATAAATGTTCATGCTAGAGAGAGAAATTTAAGCCTTGTATTTAGAAGCAGTATGACAAATATAAAAATAGTCTCTAACAGTCAATCTAAAAGCATTATGTTTTCACCTGTTTACCAGTGCAGTAAAGCAAACTTTTTAACCTAAAATTATATGTATAAAAAGGTTATAGTTCCAAAGAACTTCTCTCTAGCAGTTGTTATATTTTACCTGTGTGTGTGTGTGTGTGTGTGTGTGTGTCTGCGTTTTAACTTTTAAAAGTGGATGAGTGAACAGAAATAGATCCAGATGAGTGTTTGGATACATGAAGGAAATTCCTGACATTTTCTTAATATTAAGGGATTAGGCTGCAATGAAGATGGCCTTGATTTTTTTATTTTGAGTTTTTAATCCAACCTGTGTAAGTGTGAAAAGCATTTGTTTTTCGTTTTTGTGCATTTAAAGTAAAAATGCTTTGTGTTCATTTTATGTGCTGCTTATAGAAAAGCCTGTCGTAAATATTTTCTATTCTTTCTGTTAAACCAAGACATAAATATTAATTCTAACTATATCAACTCTTTTACATAGATAAAGGAGAACTTTTTGTACCTACTCCCAGTTATTTTGAGATTGTCTACCTGAACCCAGATAAACCTGCAGTCATCCCATGCCGTGTTACTACTCCTTCAGCAAAAGTAACTCTGCACAGGGAATTTCCAGCAGAAGAAATTGAAACAGATGGAACTAATATTATTTATGATGTGAAGAAGGGTTTTGTTTACCAGCACCCTACTTATGATCATAAAGGTATTGTCTACTGCAAAGCAGAGTCACAGGGAGCACCTCAGATTTCCATCAAGTATCATCTATTGTATGTGGAAGGTAAGATGGAGTTTTCCATGCACTTATATTGGTTCTTGTTTCTACTTAGAAAACAAATTCTTAAATTAAAAATTGTGAAATAAATAATGTATTCAGAGTTTAAAAATCTAGATGAAAAGTACATGTGATTAAACACTAGATATAAATTCCAGCAAGTTCCTAGTTTGGGGTGAGGGGAGAAGTTCCAGTTTTATGGCACTTGCCTGTTGCAGTAAACACACTGAGGAAAAAAATACCTTGTTAATTATATTTTATCAGTCTATTTCATTTTGGAAACTGATTTCCTGCTTCCCACCACTGTCTTTCAATTAGTTCCCAAGGGTCCACCCTCAACCACCATTGCAGCATCGTCCAATAGAGCAGAAGCCAGTGAGAGCGTTAATGTTGTCTGCACGGTCCTTGGGGAGCCAGATGTGGACGTGAACTTCAGCTGGCAGTACCCAGGGCAAGAGGTAAGAGATGAGATGTCTGCCGTGTTGGAAGTGCTTTGCTCTTAATAAATGTAGTCCTTTGAATGCCATTTAATGCCTAGGTTTGGAACAGAGACTCTTTCAGATTGCAGCATCTGCCTCCTGCTAGCTCAGGCGTGCTTGGCTGGAGGAGGCAACACCTCTCCTTTGCACATCAGCCTACCTGCCTGTCCCTGAGAGCAGAGAGGTGTCACAGAAATGAAGCTTACGCCTGCAAAGCTCTGCTCGTCTTAGCAAAAATGAAGTTCTGCAGAGCTCACCCTTCCCTCAGGCTGCCCTTGCGGAGACACTTGGCCTCTGGCAGCAATTCCGTAAGGAAAGTCTCAGACAGGACCTCAGGGATCTCAGTGTTATTCTTCATGTGTGTTGTTGAGTGGTGCGGAAGGCGGGAATAAGGAGGCAAGGTAGCAATGCAGCTTGGTGTCCCTAAACTATAGCAGCACTGGGTAGTCTAACAGTGGAGGTAATTGTTTAGAGTGAATGGACAGAGTTCAGTGCATACCCCTCTTGACAAAATTGAAATCAATGAGACTGTAAGGAAAAAATAAATTAAAAAAAGTTTTTGCTCACAGTAAACACCTGCCACCTACTAGATGTAGCCTGACTGCACTGTGACTCATCTGGAAGCGTGAACAGGACGGGCAGCTTTTCTTGTGCCGGTCCTTTTTGCAAGTGCAGTTGCAAGTGCAAGATTGTAGCCTGGCTCTAGATAAATGCTTAACAAACATATCCTCTTGCAACTACTACCTTAAGCCTTGCAGCAGCTGTATTGGTAAAAAACTAATACATGTGTTTCATGAAGCAAGTTTAGGTGGTTTTCAAGAAACCTCTTTATCTTATCAATTTTATCCAGTACATCAGTGTACCAAAAGCCAGCATGATGAGAGGTACTGAACGACAAGATGGCAGGAAAGGCTCTTAGTCTATGTTAGGACCAGTTTCATCTGGTCCTTGGCAAGCTGGGGTATGTTAAAAGAAAAATCCTGTTATCATTAGTGTTGGAAAGGAACAAAAAACACAACCGTCTTAAGACCCTCAAAGCAGCTCTCAGCCTTTTTTTCTTTTTTTTTCTGTATTTTTAGCTTTGGAGAGCACAGTAGGAGGAGTAATATAATAGCAAGGACTAATTCAGAAGCACATATGAAATTTTAGTATTTGCTTTTACGTTATCTAATACAGTCTTTCTGAAACTAGAGGAGGAAATAGTTTGATAAATATGATTTAAAGCTACTGCCATGCTAAAGGAGAACCAGGTAAAGCTTGCTCAGCTGATTTACCCCACTGCAGCCTGCCTTATCTAAACATGTTAAGTGTCTGAAAACAATCTATCTCACACCTCTCTCCTGATACGCCTTCCTCCCACCCTCATCCCATGAAATATCTTTCCTGTTTGATCAAATACCAAAAGCAAAATGTTGCTACATGAGGATCATTCACCTAGGCAGAGCCTACTGAGTCACTGCCTTAGTGCAGAGATTCACAGCATGTGCATTTAGAGGGCAAGAGCCATTATGCTTATTTGGCCCAAGTTATTGGTATGGCAACACTTAATGAAGAAATATTGCTGTAACTGCCCAACACCTTCAGCTTCCTCACTTGAGCCTTTCAGCTGGTGACTCTTGTTCTCACTTCAGGGTTGCTAAATCCCATTTGCAGACTCATGTCTTTCCTTACGGGGATGTCTGTTTTTTTTTTTAAACAGTCTGAGAGGCCTGTGATTATCCAAAACTTCTGGAGATTGATCAACAGAGGAACTGGCCATACCACAAGAATCTCAAAGAGTATTATTGTTATTGAAGATTTTGAAGCAAGAGATGCTGGGAACTACATTTGTATAGCTCAGAACCTACAAGGAGAAACAACAGTAGCTACTAAAGTTGAACTGAACTGACAGGAATGACTTCTGGATGGGGACTGAACTGCTATACGTTGTCACTTCAGCCATTTACTTCATTAGTAGTGTTTCTACCAGGCTTCTTTTTCATACCTCAGTGCATTCCATTTTTACTACCTGCACAGGCTAGAGTAGAGTTCCTTATACATGGCAGTAGTCAGCTGCGAGATGCAACTCCTGTAAGTATTAAACTTGAAGCCTGAATATGTACACGGCTTATTACATTTAGGAATAGGTGCTCTCGGGCTTTCCTTTGCATATAGTCTTTTTCCTCAGTCTTTCACAAAGTCAGCCTGCTGGGGGATTTGTGCCTTTTATGTGTGTATGTGAAAACTGAGAAGATATTTAATCTTCTTTGCAATTTTAAAGTACTGTACATGTTAAAAGTTATCATATTCGCCCATAGCAATGTTTATTTTGCAAGCATAATTAAATTGCTGAACAGTCTAAAAGTGTTTGTGTGCATGGGTGTGTATGTACACTTTTTAATCTATGTATTATTATGGATCATAGAATCGTTAAGGGTGGGAAGGACCTCTAGAGATCATCTAGTCCAACCCCCTTGCACACGCAGGGTCACCTAGAAAAACGTAATTTTTATTTTACTTATTTTATTTTTAAAATATATTTATTTATATATAAAATATATATTATTTATGTGTATATATATATTTAATTTTTTATTATTTGCATTTTATATGCACATATACATATATATGACATAAATTAATTCTCAGTCTTGGGAAAGCTCAGTAATAAATACATATAGATCAAGGTGCTAAAAGGGACTTGGGAAGGGTAGAATAAGCTGGATTTTTCCCTATGTTGGAGGATTCTTAGTTTTCTAATACATAGTTTCCTCCTCATATATAAGTCCTGCATGCTAAAGATAGAACTGTATTTATTTATATGGTACCATTTACGGAAGGAAACAGACATGACATGACTGGAATACGGAATAGCTTATACAGCAGAAGTTTTCTCAGGTTAATAGCTTGTTCAACTTGATTGTATTAATTTACTTAGGAGACGAGGAAAAATGTTTCATTTGCACAAAAATAGATCTGGATTTAAAAAAAAAAATAAAAAAAAAAGCAACTGCTTCCCTCACCCTGGATGTAGTTACCAATACAAGGAAAGGCTTCCTAGAGAAGAGGTAAGACAGTGCCGATGCCCGCGCTTCCTTTGTTTCCTCAGGCTCACATGCAGCATCCCCCACTGCAGTGCAGAGCTGCGCAGCAGCGTCAGGCTGCGGGACAGCACGGGAACGGGAGCCCCTTGGGCTGCAGGGCAACCCCCAGCTCGGGGTGGGAGCAGCCAGAGGCCGCTCAGCCCGGCCTCGCCGCTGCGGCGCTTGCTCGGGGCGCAGGCCGGCTGCGAGCCCTCGGCCCGCGGGGAGCCAAGCACCGGGGCAGGCGCGCACGGGCCTCAGCTGGGGAAGGGCTGCTACTGACATCATTCATGAACCTAACCATCAGTGTAGCCAAAACCAGAATTGAACAGGCTTGTTAAACATTACTGTTTCAGGTTCCTGCACCTTCAATCCCAGAAATACTTTTGGCCTGTTTTGGCCTTTAAAAAAAAAAAAAAAAAAAAAAAAAAAAAAAAAGGAGAAAACTTACACATCATGCATAGCAATAGGACCAACTTAGAACACCAAAGAGGCAGGTCACTGCTCAGCTTTCAGAGAGATGGTTAACAAACATACTGCCTTGTTACCCAAACAACTGAACAGGTAAGACACGGTTTCATGTAACGGCTGAATAAGGACTTCCTACCATTTTTCTCTGGGCAACACTTTAATCTGACAGATCCCTGGGTTTCTGGATAAGGCAGTACCATCTGTTTATTAATTTTCAGCATTTTCATTTATCAGCATAGTGCTTTTCCCTTTGATGTGCAGGAGCTGTGCCAACTTCTTAAGTTTCAAAGTATTTTGAGCCTCTAATTGAACAATTAATGTTTTTAAAATATCTCACAGCTGGAAGATGGTGCCACCTGTTCCAGCTTGTTCAGCACCACTGCTGTTCCTGGGGTAACATCACATCCTTGATGACAGTTTGGTGGAAAAGACCAAGTAAATGCCCTTGTGCATCGCGCTTCCACTCCCTCTCCAGTGTAACAGTCACATACACAGACACCTTTTGAAACTGCATTCTGAAGGGAGATTTTTTTTTTTTTTTGCATTTTTTTTTTTCTCTCTGCAAAATAATCCTCATCTTCGCAAACTAAGAACATGGGTCTTTCTTGAACTATCAAGAGCCTTGTAGGCAGGCCTGATTGCTCTTGCCTCAATGCAAACACATGCAGATACCAAAAAAATTAATAGGGATGTAGGGAAAAAAAAAAAGAAACTGAAGCTTGAAGCAAGAAGTCGGAATGCTCTGTCAAAGTCGTCACATGCCTAGGTTTACTAGTTTTGTTTTTTCTACTTCTGTATCTGTCACCTCTCTGCGAAGGCAACAAACAAATACCTTGGCCGCATTGCTGCTGCCTTAATCACATGGGTTTGATGATTATTGCTAATTTCTGATAAGTGTTTTAACTCCAGCTCAGCTCTAAAGGATTTCCTGGTTGTTAGACCGCTGTAGTTCCAAAATCAGTGGCAGCCTGCTGCCTGAAAGAAACACTGCATAGCCATTTACATGCCCGTGTCTTTAGTGTTCGTCATAAGAAACTTAGAAAAACCTTCAATATGCACATGGAAATGATTCACCTCAGGTTTTACCACAAGCATCATGTAATTGAAAAAGAAAAGCCTTGAGAGCTGAATACTGAAATTACACTAACCTTGCAATACCACAGTATGGATTAGTTTAAATGACTACAAACTACTCAGTGCAGATGCAAATGTCCCTGTAAACTTCCTTTTAAACTTATCATTAGGGAAGTACTAGTTAGAGTATCTGGACTGAGTATAATTGCCAGGTTAACACTAGACCTTTGGAATACTTTCATACTGGAGCAGGGTTCTAGCTTTTCCTGAAGAAAGTTTCATGCTGAAAGAGTTACCAAAAGGTTGTGAAATTTACTGGACCAGAGAAAGACTTTGTTAATATTGTGCTATCTACACTGCAGCACTAGCCACATGTAGAGAAATACTGCAAGAGGATTCAATGTTTTCTGGCCAAGATGACAAGCACTCAGCAGGTACTGCTCTAGTTGTATTTCTGTAAATGGGAAATCCCCATTTCTTTTCAAGAACATTGCCAATTTTAATTCCAAGAAGTTTAGAGGTGGGTAGTCCCATCCATTGTTAAGGCAGACCTAATTTCCCCTCCTCGCCACAGTTTTTCTACCACCTTTAACATATGGGGGTTTTTTTCTCTTTTTTTTTTTTAAATAATGTTCAGCTGGAGGAGAAGTTTTTCCTCATTACCTGAAAGGTCACACTGTACTCGATTTTCAAGCATTTGCATGCATTTTTCTTAGGTTTTGGTTGAGGCACTAATAGCACAACTAGGCAAATACTGTTCTTAATACTAGACAATACTTTATGCTACTACTACACTTCTTAGATAGCTGACCTTTGTGGCTTTATGCATCATTTTTTTAATGAGAAAAGTAGGAATTTTAATAAGGTGAGTTGTTTAGGTTCTGTAAGGTGAATTTTCAATACTATTTGCCACATGATGTAGTTTATTTACAGAAAGATCAGAAATAGAATTATCACACATACTCTCCTCAAGTCCCTACCTTAATCCAATGCAGCCAAGTATTTGCTTACTGCATGAATTTGTGATGTTATCTCCATTCTCCACCTTTTCTTTGGAACAACCCTGTGAGGATGCATAACCAGTAATTCCCATAAACAAACCCTATGCACCTTCTGTCTACAGTAGACTAGTTAAGACTAAGATATGCAGTAGTTTAGTAGAACATGAGCGTGTAAGCTTTACTATTTATTGCTGTTCTCCTGTGCTGAACAGGTATCAGTTTTTAGTTTTTGGAAAAATGTCTCTCTGTAGATTCAAGATCATTTGACTAATACAAGCAGGAAAAAAATTAAGCAGTACAAAAAGTTTATTTTTTAAGGATTCAGCTCAAATACATGTGATCAAATCTCTTTGACCATAGAAAATAAGAATGTTCCAAGATATGCTTTAAGCCAAGTTTCAGCCCACAGAGAATTTTCAGCATTGAATTTGAAACCCCTAGAAAACAAATCAAGTCCTGACAGCACTAGCAGTTGCATATACAGTGCCTTAAAGGGGATAGAGTAAAATGTTCCATCAAAATGGCACCTATAATTGTACACTATGTAAAATTAAGTAAAATGTAACTATTTAATCATTAGATTAAGTATATTACAAGTTTACTTACAGAACACATACTGTTAAGAATCCTGCCTGTATGTCTCTTTCCTCAATGAAGTGCCAAGATTTTTCAAGTCTTGAAAAAGACAGTTTGAAGTGCTTCAGTTCCCTAAAGCTTTTCCATTCCCTTGATTCAGGGCTCTTAAGCTACTGGAAAACAGAGTTTAGGCAAGCTTAGAAGCTACTATGTTCCAAAGGAGTTAACTGCATAGAGCTAGGTAACAGCATCAGCCGAACAGTAGTAGAGCTGTGGTCAGGAAAATTGTGTCTCATGGTACTTTAAAACCGAGCAAATGTAAGCATTGATAGAGCTTTGCTATACCACTGGGAAGTTGATCCTTCGTTCAGCAGATACAACACAGGGATCTTAGAGCTGATCAAGGGAGTGTCAAGTCTTTGCAATTACCTTATTTAAACTAGAAGCAGAGCATAAAACATCCAATGAAATGCTGACACTTGTCCTCCAGCTTAAACAGTAGGGACAGCTTTTTTTTTTTTTTTTTAAAGAAGTAATTTACAGGATCTTTGTATGAATGGCAAAACTGATATTCTGCAGTCCGTGGGATGGGGGAAAGCATGGCAAAATCACTAAGTGCTCTGCATCCAGTTACCATCTTCCCAGTCAGAGATTTAGTCAATCTTGATTAACGCTAATAAAAATACTAATGTGTGAAGAGTAAAAGCTTTTCACCAGCCAGTGAATCACTATTCACAAATTATGTAAGAGCTTTGTCAGCAATTGCATTCAGAACACACATAAGGACAATTACTAACTCTTTTCCCTTTTTTGGCTTTTCAGCTGGCATGGGGTTCCCTTAGCCCACAGCCTCTGCAGGGGACACGCTGTTCCTGGGAAATAGGGATTCTCTTCAGCAGGTGAAAGGCTAGGCCTGGGCATCTAAACCTGTAACCAGACTAATACATGTTCCAAGGTCTGGCCTTGAAGGCAGCCCTAGTTCCAATTCTATAAACTGCTGACTGAAAAGCCAAGATCAACTGCATCCTGCAAAAGAAAAATCTCGTAACAACTGACAGTTGTGCATAGATATTAAGCAAATAATCCATGCCCAATATGGCTGCGATAGTTTGGTTTTTAAAATTCATTTAAAATTGCATACCAAAGTAGGCTACTAGCAAGTCAACTGACAAAGCTTTTCAGGCCATTCTTGTACTGCACTGAGACCAGAAAGATGAAGGCAACTGCCCTAGTTATTAGCACTAAGGGCAGCTCCTCGTGCACTCTGCTAAAAGCATGCGTACTGACAAGGTTATTAAGGAAGTACATGTCAATGTAGAGTCTTCAGCTTTTATCCTTTATTATGTACACAGCAAAGAAGGCAGCATTAGACACACACACAGTGTGTTACATCCATTCCATTCACAGCACACACGCATACACACAGCCTTATAAAAGTGTCTGTGATAAGGAACATATTATAAAGGTTGTGATCTTCATCTCTAAGCCCCTGAGCTTTTTCTTATAGTTAGGTGAAAAGGCAATGAACAAGACTTTCCTTGCTCCGTAAGTGCTTTGTGCAACAAGGTCCATAGAGGTCATAGTCGAGTCTTTTGGGGGAGGTGCAACACAAGTGTCTTACTCCCACAGTCTGTCTTTCATCGCTGTTCTTGCACCAAATAGGTTCCAGTTATGTTTAGTCACTGTACAGCTAATATAGCTCTCGGTCCTGTGATTACAGTTAGGATCAGTTCTGCAGATCTAAGTGAAATGCAGTTGCCTCCTCATCTCAAGAGATGTCATCTTGGGGATACTGCAGGACTAGAGAAGTTCCCGGAGTTTCGTGGCGACTGGAGAGGCACAGATGGGGAACTGGGCGACAGTTTTCTCGGGCTGCATAGATCACCGTTGTGCAACTTCCACAGGAGCTCCTCGTTCTCCATGGACAGGCGTTTGTTGACTTTTGATTCCTTTTCCAGCGACTCCTGTAACACAGCTTGCTCAGTAGAAAGTTGCCTGCAAATAATATAATTTGTGTCAGTGCACACAATTCAGGTTGGAGGTTACATTATAACTTTGAAACAGAGCTTTTTTTCTCTTCTTTTTTTTTTGGTCTACAACTCTGCTTTGATTGCAGCTAAGTTGGTCGCGGTTGGGATCTCGTAGGTTCTTATGCTTGCTGGCTATGACATGCAGAGAGCGGGGAGGAAGAGTCCTAATAAGAAGAGTTGCTACAGACCAGGAAAGATGGCAAGAAAAAACACACTGAAAAGTGTTCCTGTGCCTACTTAGGATGACAGATGCCAACCTGGAGCCTGCAGCTTCAAGCAATAGATGATGTAAAAACCTCAGACCCACTTAGATTTTGCTGTTACTATTAAAACACACTTGTCTTTTCAGGAATCTAAAGTTGAGGACAAATCACTAAACTGAAACAGTTAAAATTAAAGCCAAGCCTCTCTCCCAAACCAGCAATATATAAAGACACCGTAATAATCTACTTTAGGATGATAATCCTGAGTTGCTTTCTGTTCACTGAAATACTATTTTGGAGCACTGAAAAACATGATGAACCTTTAACTCCTTGAAGTCTGTTCCCTTTTCTTGTTTCTGAAAGAGAATGCAGATTTGTACAGGTGTGTGGGGGGGAAGGAAAGTATTCTTTTAGAACTCGTACAAAAAACTAGTCGCTAATGCTAGTCACAATATTTACTTTATTTTTTCCCCACCCCTAGTCACAAGAACACTTTCTCTTGGCTAATTCCAATATCTGTAGGTTCCCATATATTTTTCACCTTGAAAGTTCCATGTGTTTGTCCATTCGAGCTTTTAACTCTTCATTTTCTTGCTGAAACTTCTTCAGTTTATCCACCAAGATTGCATTGTTTTCCACCTTTCAAAAAATGTCACAGATTAAAACAAAAACGGAACATACACTCATCAGGCTATTGATTGAATTATAGGATAGCACGCTCCTACTCTGGAGTCTGCAAACCTTAAGCTTTGGGTAATGCAAGTCTGACCTGTGTACAGTTTTATAGGCCCTAGTAAGAAACAAGTGTACTCATTTTACCCTTGCATTACACTGGCATCTTGCCACTGATTAAATGGCAGCGCAAACCTGGCTGTGATATCTGCTAATTCAGATAACAGCATTTTCCTAGGAGGTGGGCACAACAGATTTTCTTGGAATAACATGGTAAATGGCAAATTTGAGAGGTCTGCTGTGTAATCGGCTCTCCCTGCTGCTCTCCTCATTTCACTTGGTTACTGCAGGGTATTTTCAACAGTTAAGAAAAAACAGTGATTAAATGGTTGAACATTCCAAATGTTTTTAAACCTGCAATCTTTAGTCAGAAGTAGTCAGAAAAGGAGACGTGGAAGAGCCCTGTGCTGTCAGCTACAGCCTATGCAGTGAAACTGGTAGTTGTCTTAGAGGCTGAAAGGTTATTTACAGCATCTGGTAATTCCTTTCCCCCTCTCTATTATAACCCAATAGCGACTGCCAGACCCTGAGGGAAGCTCACCAGTTTTTCCATCTTCAGTAGCTTTATATCCTGCTGATGTAGTTTCTCATTCTTGATCTCCAGAACTGCTTTCAAACTTTCCAGTTCCTGCTCCAGATACATAATCTGCGGGTTTTTCTGAAAGATTTCCACAGAATTTGCTTATTAGCCTGAATTTCAGGAACAATTTAGATATTTTTTCTGCTATTTAAGAAGACAGAAAAAATAAATGTGGTAATGAGAGTTACTTGTTCTAAGAAGTGAAATCAAGCTAGGCAGCTTAAAGTTAAAAAACAAAACAAAAAACAGAGAGACCTGCTACCAACTTGCCCTTCTGATTTCCTTTATTCCTCAGTTTAGGACAGTTGCGGCTTGCCTTAGAAGAGAGCACGTACAATTTAGTGCAAAAAGGGGCAAACCCCTGTGAATCTAGAGGCCCTCGTGCTGCCACAGCAAAACTCATTCTGTGGGCATTCCCAAAAGCTCTCGCTACGGCGAGCAGAGGAAGGAAAACTAAGCACGTTTCAACCCATTTCCAGGCAACAGGAGTGGAACAGAAACAGACCATCAATGATGAAGCGCATTGTGCAACTAAGTCCATCTTTAAAAACAAGCAGACCTCGTTTTCGGGTACTCAGGTAAGACTCCTGGTGCGCCGAGTTGAGTAACAGCGTCATTGCCACATCAGCAAAGGAAGCACCTGCAGTTTCGGAGGCTGCAGCCCCCAGACAGCGTCAGAGGGCGACGCTGTGAAGCGAGGACACGACCGGAGCCACACGCAGCGAGGGCAAAGGCCGCCTGAGCACTGCCATCTCCTGCACGTTGCAGGGGTTGTGGCATTTGTGATTCTTGTCCAGTTTCTAAACAAAAGTTTGTGTGCGGAAGTGCTGCTGTGTCCAGAGAGGCAAAGAAATTCTAAGCTTGCACTTCCTTTTTCTTTTTGTGCTTTTACATAGCAGCAATCAGGAGCTATGGAAGATTTTATTATTGTTATTTACTCCTATGCCCCCAAGAGTTAATTTTGTTTTTTAAAGTTACATCTCCTCTACCCTGTTACTCATTGCATACATGAAATCAGATACGAAGATTGAAACATCTAGATAAGATTTTTACAAGAGGAAAAAAAAAAAAAAAAAAGACACAGACACACACACCCCCTACAGAAATAACAAGTGACCCTACTTAGATAAAACTGGAGAGGTAAAAACACACTTCGGTCTTCACAAGTCTAACAGAAATTTCTTATTGTGCAGGAGTTGTATTTAGCACAGAAGAATATACCAGGCTGAATTAAGCTTTTTGCAGAGAATAGTCTCAAGCTTATGAGGTTGCTTTACACTAACTGCCGTTGGCCCCCCCTCAGGATGGGCAGGGTATTTGCAGTTGGATAAAAGGCGCTGACTTGAGCAATACTAGAGCTCAAACTGGAAGGACAAGCACACTTATGGCCAGTCATCTCCAGCACCTGGAAAAGCCTCCACACACAGTTCCAGAGGCCTCACAAATAGCAGCAGCCTTGGGAAGAGGCAGACCAAGAAGTTTATGTCAAGGATACCTCAGCAACAGGTAGAAATCAGTTTGGGAAAAAAAAAATGCATTAAAGGCTCAAATACAAATAATGAATTTCCAAGTAATGATACAAGGCAACCTCCACTGAGTAGGGCACTTCTAAAGCATCCGTTGATGATCTGGAAAGCTGCACGATGCCCTCTGTGGTGTGCTGAGGCTTTCCAATTACCTTACCCTAGAAATACTGAACGGGGTCAAGTTAGTTGACAGCTTTCCTAATGTTACCATTAGAAACACCTATACAACACTCTAGTGCTTGAGGAATATTTCTGGTAGCAAAGATTAATAAGCATCTGCGCCCTGCAGCTCACAAGCAAGGTAGCTGCTGAAATGGAGGCAAGACTGTTGGCTGCAATAACACCTTAGTAGCAAGTAATTGGTCTGGAAGTTCTAACCACACTAACTTATAAATCCTTCTATAAATTCTCCAGGACAGCTACCTGTCATTCTTGGAAAGCAAACGAGACCGTTACGCAGCTGCCAGCTATGCTCACAAGGTACCCATGATGCAGAGCATGTGCTGCTTTGTGTACCGACCTAGCTCACGTGTATGTCTCTGGGCAATGTCTATTGATGTATGAGCTTGTCCCTGTCATCTACTGCACACACTCTCACTACTGAGGAGCAGACAGCAAACCTTCCACATTGCACAGGAGCCCTGCTGCCCCCTTCCAGCCCTCCACCAAAATAACCACAGGCCCACGAGATTCCTTTATCTGCTTTACTTGTGAGGATCAGGACTTACAGGAGTGGCTTTTTCTTTGGCTAATTGTTTTTGCTCTTCTGATTTCAACTTCTCATTTAGAGAGTAATTTTCACATTTTAATTCATCAATCTTTTTCTGAAAGGAAAAGATATGGTATAGTTAGATTTGTATCTCCAAATCACCTTGCAGGTTTTACACTGTTGCCCTGTCTCGAACCCTTAACGCACCTCCAGCAATTCCTGCTTCTCCTTAAAGGAATCCTGAAGCGACTTCCTTTCAGCCTCGTGGGCCTTCCTGAGCTCTGAAACGAATTATTTTTGAAGATTTTTAATATTGTGCAAGACATAAACAGAGAAACAAACACAGACATACAGTCAGTTACACAAAGCATGGAAAGACGACATCCTGACCACGTCACAAAATATGGATATATAAAGTATCTGATTTGTTACCACTTCAGATTTGTTGCTCATCCCCTCACACAGGCCTGTTTCATTAACTAAATGTCAAGTTTGAAAGAATTCATCAGACAGAAATTTCACACAGGCAACTCAAGAGACCCATCTGACAAAAAACAAGTTTGAGAGACAACACATTGAAATGGTGTTTCCCAAAGCTTCTATAAAAACCTGTCACCTCTGTACTCATTCACACTTTGGAGATGTCACGTGGAAGACATTACTTCTAGATTGCAGTGGAAATTTCACCAGTTCTAATGGGCAAAAGTCTCAGTAGAAACTGGGTTATCAAGCCGAGTCGGGCAGGGGAAAGAAATCTCTTCAGTTAATTCAGATGCAAAGGCATGAGGAGCTGAGCACTCACCCCTGCCCTGACAAAACCTTCACCCAGTGCCGTGCAGGCAGTGTGTAGTATTGCTCAACCCAGGAAACGTGCCCATTTAACTGGGAAGCACAGAGCCCCACTTTTCCTGGGTTTCAATTCTGAGGTGCTCCTTATAAAAACAATTTACTTGTTACCTTGTGGTTTTCAGTAGTCTGCAATTTAGACATGTCTTTTACTGAAAGAAATGAACTCCAATCTTAAAATGTTTTGAAGGTTTATTCAACTCAACAGGACTACAATCATTTCTGAATGTAAAATAAGCTTTATTCTGTTCCAAAAGAAGGAATTTTGACAGCGTTATTAAACACAGTTGATTACCAAGAACAAGTGGATATACTGCTGAAAAGTCATTTTTTTACATTTAGAACTAGCAGAACTCTATTGCATGTACTTAAATACAAAATACTTGCCTGAAAAAGAAGACTCATATTCCTTTTTCAGCTCCTCTACTTTTTCTGAGTGGCTGCTTTCAAGTTCCAGCTTAAAGTTTTCATGTGTTACATTTAAGTTGTCCACCTGCAATATGACAACATGATTTCCTCCTCTGCAGCACAACAAGTTAGTTGATGTTTAAAGAAGCATTATGACCATGTCTTTGAGCAGTATGTAAAGTGCATGTTTTGGATAGTCTAAGAAGCACTTAAACGTAGTATAAGATGTGAGAAGCTATGCCACATTCAGCACTCTGGAAGGACAGCCTTATAATTCACTAACAGGGTGATGCACCAACTCAGAGTTTTTGCAAAGAAAATCCCCAGGCCAGATGCATTTTTATAAATCCTAAAGCCCAAGGTGACACAAATTTCCAGGAGAGCTCCAAAGGTCCTTGGAATCTGCAGAACATCAAGAATCTGCACCACATCTAAACATCCATATCTAGAAAGCTAAAGTACAGTAACTTTTTATAGTTGCAATAAAGCGGAGTTGCATATTAGATGAAGCAACCAACTCCATCATTAGCAAAAATCAGGACTGGCTGAAGGGTCATTGCAAGAGAAAGCAATTACTAGGGAACATTCCCACTTCAAGTGTCACAGACCTGCTCTTGGAGCTGTGCTTTGTATTTCTCCGCTTCTTCAATGCAGATGCTTTGGAGTTTCTCACATTCTGCAGTGTAAAACTGTTTAAGCCTCTCCTCCAGCTCGGCTAAATCCTTGTGGTGCTGCTGATTTAACTTTTGCACAAATCCTTCATAAGCAGCTTGCAGCTCATTTCTGTCTCTCTCCAATTTCTCACAAGCTGCTGAAGTGGTTACTGAAGAAAAGAAAAAGTAATCAATTCACATTTAGCCTTTGACCCAGGGATTAAAGATGATACTCTGCACAATAGCATTACCCAAATCTAATTTATAAATTAATGCCTCCTCTCTATTAAAAAATAATCTTTAAGATCTTCATAAAAATACAGAATCTGCAGTTGAGTGCTTCTTCAGTTAAGTGTTATTTGAATCTGGAGTTACACGAGGAACCCATATAAAGAACACAAATGTGCCACTTGCTCATGACATAAAAGATGCATCAATGAATGTCTCACTAGAGACACTGGAGTGCTCTAATAAAAAAGGTAATTGGATTTACTACTTCACCTAATTTGATCCCATTTCAGTAGTGGATTTCTCAGAGCACTTCACTTTTCGCTGTATAAACCACTTAGCTAAATTGGACAGGCCTCTTGCCCCGGAGCCCATCCGTCCAGCACGTTAGGTACAGCGAGCGAGGCCGAAAGGCAATTCCCGCCTCGCGGCTACCCAGGAGGGGACGTACTGAACCCAATCTGAAACACGCGGCCAGCTCGCAGAGGCCCAAGGTATTTAAATACCCAACACTCAGGCAAAGGGCAAAGCAGTAAGCAAACAGGAAAAACAACGACGTACTTCTCCTTCCATTTATATTAAGCACAGGGCAGCTATAACAACAGCCGAAGTTTGTCTCCCCATATTTACAGGTGGGGGCAAAGTTGAAATTACTAACTTGTACTCCTGACTTTTAAATTAACATCCACAACTCTATCTGGAAGGGTCTTAATAGAGGCAATCATTTTTTCTAGTGCTCATGGAGCTGCAAACAAACATCTCGCACAGTTCCAGCTGTACCCAGGGGCTAGCAGCAAGGTGAAAGAGAAGTCATGGTCAGAGAATGCCATAAGCAAATTACTTATATACAGTCTCTACTTTAAAATAAACAGATTAGCCAATATATATCTATTGAAGAGAAAAAAAATAACTGGAATGTTAACCTGATCTTAAATCAGCAGGAGAAGCTGTATATACAAGCACTTCATAGCTGCTTGGCAGACTGCCTGAACAATGTCAGCTTAACCTCCATATAAAAGGCAGGCAAGATTCGTGAGTCTTGGTATAGGCAACACAAGAAATTCTTCGCACAGCTTACAGTACACACACTACAATACCTTACAGATTACCAACTCAGTACTGGTCTCAGCTGCCTGAAATTACCTACTGGTCACATCCCCACTTGGCTGAAGCTCATCAAGAACAAGCAAGTAACAGAAGCAGCTACTTGTTCTGTGACTTGAGGAAACTGTGCCCAAGTCTTGGCGTTATAGCAAATGACCCGGAACCTGCACATGCGCTGGGAAGTGTAGAGGCGCAGGATGCACTGTGTGAAAACCAACTTTCAGGTGCAGCTGCCTGCACGAGCTCCAACAGCCTTAGGTTTGTGCTGGTTCTGCTCAAAAGGTCTGCTGAGGGGACAGTTTTAGAAGAGCTGTTCATCCCTTGGCAGGCAACAACCCAGCTAAAGCCTCAACAAAACCACACCAGAACAGTCCCTGCAAGCACAGCTCCATCACGGCTCTCTGTACACAGATGGAGAATGGACACCAACAACTGAGGGTTGTTTTATGCTTTCTTTATTCCCTCAACTGATTTGAGCAATAACTGCTTCCTTTAGAAAGTAAAACATTAATATTCCCATTTCTATCACAGCACATTGGTGCAAAGTTATTGAACATCTCTGTTTTACATTGCAATGTTTTGGAGGAAAAGGGATCATTGTGGGATACGGAGCTTTGTTTTATAAAGCAAAGGAAGAGGCAAGGAACCAAACAGAGCCATTGCACAGTCCCACGCTGAACTGCTCTGCTCACATACAGTGGAGTCAGGGGTATAGCTGAGAAGCAATCAGCTCACTTGCCTCTTCTGAAATGACTGTAGCAAAAATGCTTCAAGTGACCCATTTCCTTTAAAAGGATGGAGGAACAAACAGAAGAAACAGTCATCTAATTCTTTATTTGTAAGGCCAGTCACGCATTTGCCTCTGTTTAAAAGAATTTGCCTTCTATCATCCTTTTACCTTTAAATGTCAGGTGGCCAAGTATGTACAGCTTAAGGTGCTGCATAACTTTTTACAGAACAGCTAAGTCAAAAAACAAACCACTCCTTTACTAAAGAAAATAGTCATGCTCCTTCTTGTTTGGCCAGCTTGCAAGTTGGATATATGCAAAGACAAATAAAACCAACTTAAAACCTGCCCTGGAAGGTGAAGGCTGCAGGGCCTGGCCTGCAAACGCTGCCCTGCAGCCGCACGTCTGATCTCAGCAGGATGAGACCCTGTCCTCCACACAGGGGCCCAGGGACCCTCACCGGGGCTCCCTGCCCAGTGCCAGGGCACTGCGAGCGGCTGCACCAGGAGGGCCCATCCGGAGAGCTGCTCCTGGCCCTCGGAGCTGCCAGGGGGCTGTCCCTGCACTCCAGACCCACATCTGCAGCGAGTGTTTCGCACCACCCCATCCACCTCCACAACGAGCAATAGCAGTGACTATATGTTATCTTGGGGACAAGCCATGAAAAAAAGACAAATAAATCCTTACGCTGGCCGCTCAGCCACAGCAAGGGGATGCTGCCAAACTTGAGCCTAACCAAACCGGAGCCAATGACTATTGAACCTAAGAGATTTTGTTACCGAAGAGGAGCTTAGCTTTGAAGAAAGCCGGAAGACGCAGAGGGGTCTGTCACACACTCCTGTCCCAGCCTCCCCAGGCCCACTGGCCACTCACCCACTAAGCAGCTTCAAGCCCCTCTTGACACCAACGAGTTTTGAGCTCACGGGATACTTACCTGTGGATAGAGGGGCTGCTGCACTTGGCAGCATTTACTTCAGGGCCATTAATGGTTTGTCTCACTTTATTGCCCCAGCCAGTCATATAACGCTCTCATACCCCGTTTTAGTAACATCAGGGGCAGGTTTCATCTGCATTTTTAGGCTGCCTATCACTTGTTACATTATAAATGAAGAATTTAACTTTTTGGGCAAAACGTCTGGCAATCACAGCAAATTTCTGAAACGGGAGTAACAGGATATCTTCCAATGAGAAATGCTGATCTAACATGCAAAATTAACATTGCTGGTTAATTATTAAACAGCCACTGCAGCCTCATGCCTTTCACTGTAGAGCTTTCCACATACCAGAGCTATAAAGAGCAACATAACCAGCCACACGGCATGGCCTGCGACAGCACAACCTGCCACAAAGCCAAATCATCCACTTCCACGCAAATATTTTGCGAGATGTACTCCCCTAAAAGCCACTAGAACCACAGCTCTAACATGAAGAAATATTCAGGATTTTTTTAAAACCAAATTATTTCCAAACAAATTATCTTCATAAAATTGTCTAGATCACTCGCTGGTCTAACTGTAACCTAAGAAAAATCTTAGTATGCTCAATCCACGTCTGAAATGCAGTGCACTAGAACTAGCAACATTTGAATATGTTTGGGGAATGTGTAAAGGCAGTAAGCATAGAAAAAGGTGTATTTTAACATGGTATTTTGTTGAAGAGTGTAATATTTTATTGCCCCAACTTTATATTCTACATTCAAAGATTTATGTATAGGCTCCTTTGACCAGTAAGCCTGCTGGAGCCATACAAGCTCCCTACAGATATATATATTTAATCTAGTACTATATTCATGTTTTTGGCAGATTCTCTGTATTGGAAATTCTTCTGCCCAATTGTTTTTATTACCAAGTTGCTTTTGTCATGACTTTCAGGATTAATGGCACGGTCGTATTTCATTTTCCTGTTCTCAGGCACGCTGCAGTGAGAACATGCTCTAAGCTACAGGCAGCAGGTACAGCTGAATGCAAGGAAGAGTCTGACCTCTGGGAGAGGGATCTCCTGCTCCCAGGAATAGTAAACAGACCCTTCCATCAGTTAAGCTTTTTGGAATATCCTCATAACCTGAAAACCAGATCGCATTCAATCCATCCTTCCATCTTTTTATCTCAACCTACAAAGCACTTGAAAAGTCATTTATTAATAAAGGATAACAACATAGCATTTTAAATGACCTTTTTTGTGCAATTGCCACAAAGTGAAAGGAGAAGTTGAACAGTTGTTCAGACATTTGGCTTTATCGGATACATGTCAGTCTCTCCCAGATGCTGGATAAGGCTCAGGAATTGCCCTTTTCAGGCAGGCAACACAGAGCCTGAGTGAGCTCTGTATTGCTTGGGGCAGCACTGAATGGGATCACATCCAGGGCAGCTGAGGAGAAACTCTGAAATCATCTCAAATGCAATTACTTCCAAGAGTTAGTTTTGTGCCTCTGAAAGAAATATGTAGCCCTTGCAATTTCTACTTACCTGATTAAACAGGTAGCTAAGAATAGCTGGTGCAATAGCTTGTATGTTAATAAGAAAAGGAAGAGGAGACAAAGAGAGCCTTTGCATCGGCTCTAGCTTCCCAGGACAAAGGCAGTTCTAGTCAAAACTTTTAGGTTTAGGTCTGGCAGCCAAAGATCTATATGGAAACACTGGGTTCCCCTTCCTAGGGTGTCAGTCCCCAAAACACAATGCACGATGCTGCTTTCACAACAGCCGGGGACTCCGCTCGTGGCCATGTGCAATGTGTACAGGCAGTTAAGTGGCATGCAGGCTGCTCTGCACCTCCCAGGCTCGCTGTGCTGAGCTCCTAGTGTCAACTAAGACATGCAGCACCCAAGACTTCCAGAGGCCACTTTGGAGCAAGTTCAGCTGTACTCATTTAGCGATGACAGCAAAAAGTCGATGAGCAGGTGTAGATATGGACAGATTATTCGCAGCTTAGACTAAGGTCACAAGTATTGTTCTTATGCCTTAAGTGAGGTTTGGCTTTTGTTGTTTTTATTAACCTAAACCTGAAGTTAAAGATCTGGACAGTTGTTTTATTTCTGATCAACTACATTGCCTTTCATATGTTGGGGAGAAACATCTGGACAGGCTAGACCTGAGATGCGGCAAAGACAAGGGAATGGCACGAAGATAAAAATAAAAATGAAGATGAAGATAAAAATGAAGGCAGATGCTTGGCCAAAATCCCAGCTTGGAAGCCCTGTGGAGGGAGGCGAGGCAGAGGCTGCTGCCCAGGTGCTGCTGGGGACGAGACGCACCAGGACCTCCCGGTCACAGGGTGCTGCTCGCCCGTGCCCTCGCGGAGCCCAGGGGCACTGCTGCCTGCTGGGCATCCCCGTGTGCGACAAGGAAAATTTAACAGTGAGGGCAACAGAGCACTGGAACAGGCTGCCCAGAGAGGTTGTGGAGTCTCCTTCTCTGGAGATCTTCCAAACCTGCCTGGATACCACCCTGTGCCACGTGCTCTGGGTGACGCTGCGTCTGTAGGGGGGTTGGACTAGATGACATCTACAAGTCCCTTCCAACCTTAAGCATTCTGTGATTCTGTGATTCTAAGGCCGCGCTGCACGCGAGTCAGCAGGGCTCGCGGGGCACGTTCCTGAAACTGGAAGCCTACGGGGGCTCCACGGGCTGTTAGTAGAAGTTTAAGCTCAGGGGAAGCTCATCTAAGAGCCTGGCACCCTTGGAAGCAACAGGCAGTGAAAAGCACCGGCTACATTTTTGGTCTAATCACTTAAGGCAAATTTTCCTGTATCTTAGGTGAGCAGGGTGATAGGAAAAAAAAAAAAAAAAAAAAAGCACATTGAGAACGCTGCTAATGGGGAATTCAACAAGTTTAAACAAATGGATTTTACAGTTGACCACGACTACAAGAAAGCCACTTCTGCACTAAGACTCTAACTTCATGGATGTCATTAAGCCAGCACAGAAGCGTGAGCGGCTGCTGGTGAGAGACGAGGACCGTCCTGCACTGTGTGCTCAGCTCCGTCCCCTGGAGCAGGCACCTTCCCCAGCGCAGCGCTGCCGCAGACGCAGAGCTTCCAGCAAAGCTGCAGCCGGGCGCTTCACGGGAACAGCAGCCAAAGGCTGCCCCTCAGACAGGTGTCCAAGGCACCAAGTCCTGGAGCAACCTCAGCTTTTCAGCATCAGACTAGCTCTGAAGAAAAAAACACAAATCAGGAGAATTCCAGAATTCCTCCAGTACTCACACCTCTGCATCTGCTCCAAGGCTCTCCCTGCCTGTGACATTGCTCACTCGCACATTTGCAGTTTTATGCCATATCAAACAAAGCTCCCAAAAAGCTTTTTTAAAAAATAAGGTTCTAAGTTGGACTAGAGGAACAGTGATTAGCAAGGAAGACAAGCTCAGCTGGTGGAGCATCCCCCTGCCAGGCTTTCCATGCTGATCAGCTGCCAGGGAATACCCATCTTATTAATCAGCCCTGGAAAACCAATCTGGAGATTAAAGGCAGCAGCTGCACATAATCAGACCTACACTCACATTCAAGTTTGGCCAAGACCATCCATACTCCACTTCTGAAGCATGTGAAAACAAACATTCCCACTTCTCAGTGATAAATGACATATCTGAAACCTTTCCACACAGATTAAAAAAAAAAGCTTTGAACTGAAGTAAAGGGGCTTCATCCTACATGTGCTTTTATAAAAGGGTACCTGTACTTTCAGATGCAATCAATTTAAATTCAAAGGCTTACTGCACTCTAGAAGATTATGCTGCTGTAAGTCCAAGATATATGCGTTAACATTCAATGCAGTCAAATCAAGCTTCAAGTTGGCACAACCTGCCCTGGAACATCATAGCTCAGTTTCGTATTATAGCTGCCCACTGGGATGAGTTCAAAGATTTAATCTCATTAGTCTGATAGCTTTTCCTTCTGCTAATTTTACACTCATTCACCTCCAAGCCACCAAGGCAAAAGTGCCCATTTTGCACAGTACATTTCATAGCTTTTTGGGATTTTTGCCAACAGGTCTCCAGAAACAGCACACAAACCATTTAGGAATCGGAGATACACACACTGTGGACACGCTCCCCTTGCTAGCAGGGAACGCCGTGGTGCTAGACACACATTTTGTGCAGAGGCCCTGCTCGCACGGCCACGTCAGCACCAGGAACTCGGTGAAGCTGAGGCCAGGCAGTCGAGGCTCCAGGGAAAAGCAGCGAGGAAGCATCGGAGCGGTGGCTCCGCAGGGAATTAGACAGCGGCCATTACTGTACCACGGCAGCTGTCTTACCCCCAAGACCTGCCTTTCACTCTATTTTGTTCAAATTAGAAAAACAGATTCTTACCCAGCTCTCCTCGAAGGTTAACCAGTTCCTGAGACAGCTCTTTATGCTGCCTTAGTGCTTCATCCCTCTGCAAAGAGAAAACACGAGCATTTAGTTACTAGTGGTGTGAAGAGGGCACCTTCCCCAGTTAACTCGCACATGCTCCACAGGAAAACAAGAGGCAGGAGCAGGGAGCCAAGATATGAATCATTTAGGATAACAGTTCTGCTGTTACCAAATACACAGATGTTCCCCCGTTGTTAAGGAAGTTGTACTTTAAAGCAAGGAATAGTGTTTTCCAGGATAACGCAGTAATTGAATTCCGACTTGGCAGCAATTAATGGTACATTTTACGATGGGTGCGGCAAGTCAAACCTGCAGGACGCACCGACCCGCCCCCGCCAAGGGCACGGAGAGCGGCCGGCGCCACACGGGCAGCGTTCAACACCCACTCCACAAAACACAAGCAAGCACAAAACGAAAAACTTTGCTAAAAGCTCGACCTTCCCCACGGAGAGGCACAGCCCGAAGTTGAGCACAACTCCCCCCTCCTCCCCAGCGCACACTCTTCACGCTTCCAGCTAACGGCTGGTTCCTGTGTGACAGGAACGAGCAGCTCCGAGCCG